AGTGCTTGGACTAGAGAACATCCTTTGCCTTCCTCTTCAGTTTCTGCAGGTGCCATGGGTGGCGGCAGAGACCCCAGGATGCTTCGCCATCACTCCATGGGGCCAAACACTTGCTTTAAAGTGGCTGCAGAGTTGCACCAAAATAACAGAGGCATTTTTGTTGGTTTGCCTACCCTTGCTCAGAAGAATATGGAATAATTTGTTTTCTCTGTTTTCTACTAAAAAGAGCCTTTTATCAGGACAAGAACTTGCCTGGAGAATTTTCCAGCTCTGTTTCCCTGCCTCTTTATCAGTGCATTAACACAAACAGCACTGTGACCTGTTTAACCAACATACGTGGCCTTTAGTAATCGTGGGCTAGAAGCACTGTGCAGGTCAGACGACATCCTGCCATCAATCACCGGCCTCACGTGGCTTGGTGGACTTCAAATGGACTTGCCAGATGCAGTCAGTGCATCCACGCCGTTCCTCCGTGCATGTCCTAGGAGAAGCTCTCTGACTAACAGATGTTTTTAAATGCTCTTTCACATGGGAAAATTGGGAAGTATATGTTTTTATTGCACCCTTGCTATTTCATCCAGCCATGTGGATCTCCAGGGATGGAGACGTACTTAAGAAAAATATTCATTTCTAAAAGCTTCTACAATTTTTTCACAATACTTTTTTGGCTTAGCCAGCTTGGCAACACACACTTGTATTTCTGTTTTGCAGCAATTAGTAAGATTTGCTAATTACACTGCTGTGTATTTAAAGACAATTAATTTCCCTTTGCAGCAGAAAACAATTTCCTGTTATGCCAGTTCTCTTAATCTTCATTAGAAATAAACCCGGGCTGCCACTGCTGGTAATACATCATGCTCCTTTATTAAATTGCTCTCTTTTTTGTCCCGATTATGCATCCTGTGTTTATTATTCCTGATCAGTGCATTGGATCATCTACAGCTGTTATGACTATATGTATTTTGCTTCACGTATTGTTGGCACCAAGCACAGTTATCGGAGAGCAACACCGCCTTGCTCAGCAGCTTGTGCATCTCTTCTGGCAGAGGGAGGTATACTAGGAGAACCTTGGACCTTTGATTCTCAGTTTTGGCATGTGTAAAAAACTACTGGTAGATAAGGAAGTTCAGAGCCTTAGATGCAAGTGTGGGCCTTCTCCTTGCAGCCAGCCCAGAGAGAGTGCTTGTGTCTATGAGAGGAAGCACAAAGGCACGCATTTCCATTCATGTAAATGTTACACGTTCTGCTTAGAGTTATACTGAAGAAGACCAGGCTCTTCAAATAAAAGAACTTCTTATGCCCCAGATATCTCAGGCTGAGTGTCACAAATGCAAGAAGAAAGAATGAGAATATTAAACTCATTATACTTAAGTTTTTCTCATTTACATGTTCTTTTACTGAGCAAGCAATTTGGCAGCCTAAAATGGAGAGCAAATTGATGTGGCACAGGCAGATGAGCATACAAGGTAATGTTCTGGGTGTTCAATATTGGGGGGGGTATTTTTGATGAGATTCTTGTCACCAAAATCTCTCAAGAGGTTTGGGCCATGTTCACCCAACAACAAATCTGAGCATCCGCTTGATCTTGACTGAGTTTCTAGTCTCTCATGGCCAATGTAAAAGCTGGCAGATAGAACAAAAGCCATCAAGACTTCTCTCTGCCATGTCACTACATCCAAGTAAAAATATTCTCGTTCAGAGACACTAACATCTTATAAAACTAGGAAAACCTGTTCAAACTCTCTGACCGCACATAAATCTAGAGCTAACTTTGTGTGGAAGATGATGTTGCTTTGCAACAATGAAGAGCTAAAACCAGACCTGAATGTACCCATCCCAAGGCTTACTTGAATGAGAGAAGTGCCGTGAGACACAAAGATTGTGTGTGACTCGGGGCCCTCTGGGACAGATGGGGTTAAGTGAATTGCAAAATGCTTTGTGGTACCAGAAAGCCACTTTATGCAGGAAAGGGAAAAAAAAATCCCACCTTTCCTCCCCATGTCAGGCAAGATCTCTTTTATCATCTGGGCTGCAGATGAGAGCTCTGATCCTGTCCCCTCCTGTGCAGAGATCATGCTTCAGTTCAGCTCTCCTGCTATGTCAGGGACATGTTAAAAACTGCCTCTGATCAGCTTCAGGCTTCTTCTTTGAGACATAAACCCCACTGCCATAAAAAAAAACCAAACCACAGCTGTACTTCCAGCAACATTTTCTAAAGTCAAAAGCAAATATTACCTGGACTGATAGAAGTTAGTGGACTTAATAAGTATATTCACCACTTGGGTTCAGGGGATAGACCTGGCTTCACATTCAACACTTCTCTTACAGCACAGCCCTGTGATACAAAATCAGCTCAGAACATAAGAGGGGGTGACTGAAGAAATAGAGAAGCAGAAAAAGCATCGAGCAAAACCAGTGTATGTACTCTTCCAAGTCAGTAAATATATGTAAGTAAAGCCAATCCCCTCTCTGTGAACTGTAATAAGTATTGAAAAACTAGAAAAATACCCCAGTGATTTCTCCCCCTGTCCTCATTTATAGCCAAACTTTTAGAAAAATGTTATATACTGCAAACCTCTCTAGGAACAACCAGCTAAGTGCTAATTAACACTCTTTCTAGTTCATGCTGATTGTGAAAAGTTTAGAGAAGGGGAATAGCTTTCTGTGAGGCTTTAAATGAAAGGAGAGACAAAGAAGAGAGACTGTATGACCTGCATTATCTGTGGAATTTCTCCCTCCAGAAGAAACAAGCAGGCTTTTACAAAGTCAGCTCAGAAAAAGCCATCATTAACCATGTCAGTTCTGAGGCATTACTTTAATCTGGTAAACCAACAAGAGAGCACACAGATTTTATTTTGCACCAAATTTCCATGTTTGGATTCTGGTGAAGGACATGGAAAAATACATGCTTGTTCAGCAATGCCCTTGTGTAGGTTTTTTTGAAGGACAGGTGGAACAACAATCTGGATAGAGAACTGCCTTAGCTAATGACTTAAGCTGTAACATCGTTCGCATCCACATCATCTCAATCACTGGAGATGACTATGAAACACCCATGCCTAGTAACACATTTTTCTATATGGTGGTGTCTTCCAGCACGCTTCAGTGCCGCCATCACCTCAGCATGAGATCCTTTCTCATTAAACCAATGGCACTGGAAAAGTACTTAGTGACATTTCAGGACTTTGCCAATTTTTCCAGAATCAATGTTTGAAGGCAGGACTTTTGGGATATTCAGTTGCATGAACGATTTTAGGGTAGGAAATGTGCCAATTTCTTTTTTCAATTTTATGTTACTTAAGATAGAAATTTGATACAGACTGGATCAGTGCTGTGACCACTCTTCTATCACCTTGAGAGACAGGATGCAGAAAATGCCCCTGCTGCGTTGTGGATTCCTTTCTTGGAGTAGTTTGTTCTGAGTTTATCCCACTGGGTGTAGCAAATCTCCCTCACCTTCTTTGGCTCATCACTTCACAGATTAAGGACAGTGGCACCATATACGTTTTAATGTGTGATGAACCTGGTGCAATTTGATTGATCAGCCGTCAGCGCCCTTCCTTCACAGTTCTCAATTATCACCTCACAGATTTAAAACTCCCATACTATTTTGCTAATGAACTCTTCAAAAGCACACAATCTGTGGTAACATTTTATACCACCTTCAGCATAAAGATGCATCTATACTGTGACACAAGTAACAACTGTTAAATAAATGAGAGGCATCTGCAATAAATTATTTTAAAAAGACTTGGTAACAGCCTACAGCCTGTATAGGAGTACCAGGGCCATCTAGGCACAGACCAAAGTCACAATTGCCATAAGACAAATGACTATCATGCTTCAGAGCAGGTCAGCCTTCTAAGAAATGTCAGCAGCTGTCAAGACAACTGCATAGCTCCACAGTTGGCACCTATGGCATCTTTCAAACATAAACTTACCGAGGCATTAGACTCTGTCAGACTTTCTGCACTCTCTCTCACTCACTTTTTCACCACTGCTTTTGTATCCTCTAGACCACAGTGAATTTCAACTTACTGTAAACACACTGACATGACTTCTGACCATACACTTTTTGTGCAATTGCTGTTCACTATCTTTACTTTTTTTGTCTGTAGGAGTCCATTCCTTATTTTGATTTTTGCCTGAATCACCAAGTGACATCTACAATTCACTTCCTCTGGCAAGAGCAAATACCCGCCAGTGCTAACAGCAATAAACACTGTGGGCTGCTGCTCAGCCCTGGAGTGACTGCAGCTTTTGTTTAAAGGCACCTTTGGGCTGCTGGGCTTACAACATCTTTCTTCATGCTTGTAAATTTTAGAAGTTTTTATTTACATGAAACAGGTCACCTTTCCCCCAAAGAAAAACTCTGTTAAAATGGTTTCACAGGGTGTGTTAAACTTTTATACAGAAAAAAAGCAGGATTGTGCCATGCTACAGATCCTACTTTAAAAGATCTCTTTCACAGTCCTTTTAGGGGCTTCTGAACAGCAGTTTTATGAATTTATAACAACATATATGTCAGGCAGACACTGGAATTCAAATTATTTTAACTCTAACTAAAGGCCTGTGTTTGAATGTCTGAATGCATTCCTTTGTGGCTGAGATTTTTGGAGTCTTAAAACTGCAAAGAACATATCTCTTCATTATAAATATTCAATTTCTTAGTCATTCTTGTGTCAAAGGACTGCTGGAGAGAAAATCTGCACGAGTGTGGTTCAGGAGGAAGCAGAAATCAGAAGAGTTTTGTTGCAGAAGTAGGGACGTGTGGAACCCAATCTGCTTGCTGAGCCTGGCATATGTTATGTAGCTATACATTTGGAACTGAAAATGCATAATACCAAAGTGAATATTAGTATTGCTTAGCTTGTATGCACACTGCAATGTTATCTGTCTTGATCTTAGCTGCTTAAGATCTATTGGACTTATTTATTGCATGTGGAGATTTTTGTTGGTTTCTGGATGACTCCTAGGTGGGAGGGTTAATACAGACCTCTGTATTTGCTAGCTGGTTGTTACTGCCGACTTCCTAACTGTCAGAATGGCTCATAAATAGCTGGTTTATCGGACTACTTAGTTTAATGGCCGTTAAAGAAAAGACATTCTTACACAATGAACCCTGTAATTGTTTATTTGGAAACACTTATTCAAGCATTTGCTAAATAGAATAAACATTTCCATGTGGATGTAACAGCAAGACAGGGTACAAATAAAATGGTTGAAATGAGGCATGAGAATGGATTTGTGTTTTATGAAAGTCTGATTGATTTTTATAAATACGACAGCTATTTCCACTTAATGAAGCCCTCAGAAAAAGAAAGAATTTCGATTCAAGTTTTACGATCTAGGCACTACAAGACCTAGGAGTAGAAGCAAAAAGCACACCGTCTTCCCCACTGCTGCATTTCTAGCAGCTGATTCATCCCTTTCTTGAATCCTTCAAAAGTCTCTGAGATGGCTCATGTGTAGGAAGTAACTTCCATTCTGTTCTGTGGAGAAATAACCACCAGCACTTTGCTGAATTTGAATGTCTCATGTATGAGCCAACAGAAATAATGCCAGCAAGGAAGGAGGAACCTGGTTAAGGCAGGGCTTGGTTAAATAATCTAACCTTTTTCTTGGCTTGGCTCTGAAAGGTATGTGAAATGCATCAAACCACCCCATTCTGGCTACCTGCTGTGCCCAAGGCCACTGGCCAGTGCTAAAGAAATCCTTTTTTGAATTAACACTCTGTAATAACATTTTATTTAAATGTTAGTTAATGTAGGGTACCCAAACGTGATATAGGGAGCAAAGACTGACTGTAGCACACCTAACACTTGGTGTAGCACATACTCAGATCAGTTGTTTAGTCCTGGAATCGTATTTATGCCTCTGCATTTAGCCAAGCCAACTTTCCAATAGGATGTATTCCTGAGGCTGACACTAAAACCCATGCGCTTTATATCATTTATATTCTGTTACAATCATTTAGTTCTTCTGTGCTTCTTTCTCATTCTCCCAGAGAATATGGACAAACAGCACCTTACTGTGTCTCCATAAGAAACTTTAATTCTGCGCATTTCTCCATGTTGAAATGAAGATTTAGCAGCAACCTGATTTTAATAACCCATTGTTACATGAGATTTAAATAACCATAACTGGTTTTAAAGATTTTTAATCGGTTTAATCTTGAAAAATTCCAGTTCCCTTTTACAGCCCAGCAAAGCCTTTGCTATTCTTGCACTAAGAAGTTGATAAGGGCAGTTCTGGGAGACAGAAAGGCCTTTTTAATGGTTCGTCCCTGGAGATGCTTGACTCCAAGTTCACTTTGAAGAACTAGCTCGTGGACTTCTTCAAAATTGCGGGCTGCTTGCTGAGGCACAAAAACTTTGCCGCAAGCTTTATTATTGATCTGAAAAAGAGAGACATGAAAACAAGAAAAAACAGAAGTTACTACACTGATTTATACAATTTCATTTCCTGAATTCAATCCATCTCATCAAATGGGGAGGAAGGGAAAGTGGATCTTTTCTCCAACACCAAACTTTCTAAGTAGAAAATAAAATTCTCCATATCTCCTGTCCATCTACCATAAAATAAGAGAATGAAACTCTGGCTCACAATACTCAAGGAAAACTGAAAAAGTGGCCATAGGAAGCCTTAGTTTTGAAGACAGCAAGCAGCATATGACTATGCAATGTGGTAATCTTTTAAGTTTAAAAACGTGATAGTTACACAAGCTGAATAATGAGAGTGAACATAATGGTTTGTCAGGTGGGAATCTTGGTTTGTACAAGCGATTCCTTACAGAGATTCAAATGCAAGATTTATTAAAATAAAAATATTTGTGGCTAGAAAGATATCAGAAATATTCATCATTGCTCATTTTTAGAAAAACAAGCTTTAACTCACTACATGCTGCATTCATACTAACCACACATGACTCATTAAGCCAACACCAACCACAAAGACAGCAACCACTCATTACACAAACGTAACGCTTTCCTGTGTGTGGCTGGTTTTCAGAGAAGCTTCCATACTGGTTTTACATTGGCAAGGCAGAATGTAAGTATAACTAAGGCCTTCAGTAGAAATCACCTTAATTTATAAAATGGTCTTATAAATCCTTTCAGTCATCCAATAAGAGCAGATAACTAAGACTACAGAGCCTTCCTGAGTACTTTTCTGGAATTGCCATAAAATTATTACAAAAGCTTCCAGATTTATATGAATACTTTCAGTAGATTAATGAAAATAATATCAATCCCACATTTTAGCAATGAAATAATTTGTATTTTTAAATCCAGTCAAATTACTTGCATAAAAATCTGCTGCTGGTACTGCAGATCTTTGACCTTTAGACATCATTGTAATGAGTTTTCAACCCTCTAAAAGGAGCATACGTTGCTTCACACAGCTTGGACACAAAAATGCACACAGCTTAGTTTTCATCTGGATTTTATTCAGGATACATGTATGCAACATACCATGAATAAGAGAGATCTACTTCACTTACCTAGTTTGTATTTTATGGAAAATAAAATAATCTGTGCAATTCTCAGAGAGAGGAAGTTAGGACAGCATTTTAAGGAACAAGATGAAGTCTCAAATGCAGCTGGGATGAGTCATTTCTGGTTTTTTTACTAGACTTGATGTTAATTTGCAGTGATAATGTAGGTAGGCTTTTAACTATTCCTACATGCATCCATAACATATTGTAAAAGGCTGGCTGTGTAAAACTTTGCCTTTAGCACCTCGTGCAAAGTAAGTCCCTTGAAAAACACAGAAGAGTTAATTTTTAAAGCTTTTGTGAAAAATAAATACAAGTAGTTCTTTTTTGACAGGGCACTTCAAAGAAGAAATCCATTCCACGGGAAGAATAAAATGGTAAAATCCAAATGGGTATAGTTTTAGTGAGAATATAAAGCAAGCCTGTCAGCTTGCTGCTAGGACACACAGCCTGCCGTTCAAAACTATGCCTGCTTAGTTAAAATGTCATTCACTGTCCTCCATGATGCAAATTAACATGTCCCAGTGGATAGATGTTGTCAGGGGGAAACTTGCCACAACTAGCCTATTTGGTGCTGTTTTCAACAGAAAAGCCAAGCGGTCTAAATCAACTTAGTAAATAAATGACTGCTAGCAATTGTGTTTTCCTAGAAAGGTCGAGAAGCCTGGGTGACCTGACACTGTGTACCTTCCCACAGCATCTCTCCTGATCTTCCCACACCACACTGTGAGTTGAGTCCAAAAATCCTATCAAACAGCAAATGAGTTACAATTTCAGCACATGCGTGCAGCATGGCTTTCATTATACTGTAGGTATCGTAATGCAAAGTCAAACATATTAACACTATTCTTAAAATAAGCATCTGCAGATTTAATCACACACTGTGTGTAACAAACATCCTATTCACATATTCTTTTAGTTGAGGGATTAGATTCTCAGCAGGACAAATATCTTCTGCTATGCCTCCATCTCCCTCTCTCTATCTCACTAGACCTTTGGCAACTCCAGGTAAAAGTGCCAGCACAAGAAATTTGGGTGCTGGCTGTCTCATTTCTCTTAAAAACCATGGCAAACTGCAAGAGGGGAAAAAAATGAGGTTTGGGTCCCTTCTTCCCCCGAAGGAGCAAGCTGCTAATTTTTCTTTTCTTCCCCCCTCCCTTTTCTTTTTGTAAAGCACTTGCCATTTTAGACTATTTTGGATCTAGAGGGAGCTAGAGGGAACTAGACAGGTTATAAAGGATGAAATGAAATCACCAAAGACTAAAAACTAAGCACCTGGAGGCTGCAGAGAAGAGTTTTTAGTTCAACTCAAATATTTTTTTGCCATTGATGCATAATCCTTATGAGAAGTAAAAAGGAAAATATCTGTGCATTTTTAGGCTTTCCTCATATACCAAAGCAAGAAAAATGACACTAATTTTTACTTCATAAAAACAGGAGCTATAAGATCATAGCTGCTATCAGTTCTGCACCACCTAGAAAATGTGAGGAATGCTAGTCATTAATGTGTTCATAGGATGAGATGCACACTACATTCAGGTCTGATTTTTCACACCATTAACAATATATGGTACAATTAAAAATATTCAACTTTGCAATAACATTTAGAGGAACAAATACTATGCATATCCAGTGAATTTAAATGTCTTTCTTGTAGGCAATCTGTACTGTAACAGCCAGGGATGCAATGAATTGGTTGCTTTTGCTGCTTTGGGTTAAATATGGAAAGACATAACTCCAGCACAGACAGGAAATAATGAAGTGTTTTGTGTCAAAAGAAATAAAACCATAATGTCTCAGCAGGCAAATCCCTAGCAGCCTGAGGCAGTTTGATGTCTTGAGAAGAATAGGGTTGTAGCCCAAAGACTCAGTTTGACTGTGCAGCCTTGTGAAGAGACACTGCCTCTTTGCAGCTAACCAGTTTCTCCTTATGTCGAGTGTTTCTTGGTTTAATGAAGGCAATTTATTTTTACAGCCATACAAAAACCTACAGTGTTCACAAGACTTTAAAATACTCACATTTATGATGATTTCTCCCTGCTCCTCTGTATTTCCCTTTTACCTTACTCTTACAGTAGAAAGCCAGGCAGACCCCCTAGGCACTAGTTTTAAGAATTATTCCCAGTTTGAAAATGGAACTTGTCTCTCTGGTCTTCCAGTCACTTGCTTTCTCAGAACTAAGGAAGATGTTTACATATATCATATTCTTCCATTATATGATTGAGAACACAGGGGTTGCTTTTTCTCTTATTACAAGACTTCTACACAAGGTGCTTTGGCAAAGTCAACCAGGAAAACAAACAAAAATAGTTTTCGTGATGGTTGTTTAAAGCAAAACTAATTTTTATTTTTCTGGTTTCTTTTTTTGAGAAGGAAGTTTGAATGTCAGCATAAAAATATCAGTGAAATGTGTAGGCGTTTTCATGTGCAGTTGTAGAGTCTTAAAAACATTGAGTTCAGAGTTTTCCCTGTACTGCTGAAGTTTTTATTTTAAAGGTATATTTAATAATATGTTTGCTTTAACCACAACTCAAAGAAGTTTCTATAATTACATGATTTCTCGTTCAGGACTTCCTTATAAACTGAACACTGGAATTTAAGATGTTTGCTAGCTGTGCTTGAAGGTGAAGGTTTATTTTAAGCTTGAGCAAAGTGATTATACATCAGTGAAGATTTTTGTGGATAAATGACCTTTTTGCTGGTATAAATAAATGCTTATCACTTAAAGCAATCAAGCAAGCAAGCAATAAACCCACAGGGAATATTAGGCTAAGTCTGCTATTAACCCTAGCTGACACTTGAGTCCTTCTCCTTGTTTTGGGAAAAGATGCCAATTGAAAGTTTCCTGTGGCCTCTGCTAAGGATGTACATTGAACGTTAGAAAATTTAGTGTTTCAGCAGCATTTCTCATTCTGTTGAAGTGGACTGACTGAGAGATCTGGCAAGATATGAAATTATTTACAAAGATACTTTGATTAAGGAAATCTACAGCAACATGACTTCCCCTAAATCCAACCAATCTCTTCCCTCCTAAAAAACCCCCAGCTGAACAAAAATAACCCGATTGCCTTACTACTTCTACTCAAAAGAGCTAACAGAATAAAATACAGATAAAGTGCACTGCTTCTGTTTCTCTTACACACACACACAGAGAACATGCAGTTTTACAAGACCAAATGTCGTTTCTTCTAGAGGCTCCATCTCTTTCAATGTCCAAAACTGTTTAAGTTGAAACATTTAATTTAAAACATCTAAGTTTATAATGTCTGCATGGTATATTAAAGGTTATTCTTTGGTGAACAGTGAAAAAGGCAAGAATTCTGCAGATCTAACAGTATGCAACTACGTAATTACAGACTATCATAATGCCTGAGCATGAAGAACTTGAATACAAGATGACCAGTTGATGGAAGAGCTGAGACACTACTCATGATCCCATGCCCTTGGCTCCAGGCAGTCCCTCTAATGGCCTGCACTGGCACTTGCTGCAACTATGCACTATCTAACAATAGAGCTTCAGGATGCCTGGGAGCATGCTGAATACAGACTAGTTAACTAGAGATGTAGGAAAACAGACAGTAAACTACACTGTGCCTGTGCACATACACATGTTGGAAAATGACAGGTTAAATAAACATAGTTGTATGTCCCCTCCTCTACTGAACTGTCAGCTCTAGCTCTAGACCATAAAAGTGTTAAGAGTTCAAAGAGAAACCAGAATGCCGTTCTAACATAAGCAAAGATACCTGGTTTTCATCAGCCTCATTCTTGCAAATACAGTCTACAGAAATGTGCCAGAAGTTCAGCTCGTGGCAGATGGGATACATCGTTTGGCAAAAATCGCAGCAACTAAACCCAGCTTATGATACGTTGTATTAGGCAATCATAGCACTACAGGTACGTCAAGAAATGTCACCTAATTGCACATTTTTGTACAGGGCTAAGTTCATAAATGCACTCTCAGGCAAAAAATCTGGAGGGACCTGTATTTTGATCATAGTTTTCACTGTACTGTTCTCGCCCACAGCTTGTTCATTGGTCAAATTTCCACAGGTACTAATATGCAGTCACTCAAAAAGATTTATATTTTGATCATCTCTCTTCCAGACTTGCTCCATTTTTTCATTTAGGAAATAATTTCAATTACTCAGCACAATGGTAATTGCATCTTCTATTCTATTTGACATTTCATTAAGCCACCTAAGATGGGAACTGACTTCCACAAGAGTAGAAATTTTGTCATCTTCTGAGCTCCTAACACATCAGTTGGCCACCACTGAAAAGAAATGAAAATGCTTTTACCAGAACAGACATCTCCACAACATCTGACGGCTGAAGGTACTCTGGGTCTACTTTGGGCCAGGAATGATGCAGCACATCAACATTCCACTGATGATGAGTACAAAGTTTATTCTGCATATGTGCCAAACCTGGAAAACAAAACCAGTCAAACATTCAGCTGTGCTGTAACCAGCACACTGGATCTTTGGAATGTGTTTGATCAATAAGATCAGAATAAAGTTGTCTTTAAAAGCAAGTCCCTTAGGAGGAAATAACATTGTTTAGATTAACATAGAGCACATTATAAACAGAAAGATAGACATCTTTGAAGTGCTTGTTTTATACCATGCATAGGGATGCCAACATGAACAATGTGGGCACATTTGATATTTGGATTAGCACTCCATAACTCTGCCAAAAGCATAGAAGACCACTGTTTATTATTTTAAAATGTAATACTGCAACACAAGATGACCTCTACTTCTAGAAGTCAGTCATAATACTGTGGTCTTTTTTTTTTTTTTTTTTTTTTTTTAATAACACCACCAGCTTGATTAAAATTTTACTAACAATTCAATCAAAATGGTAAACAATTATGGCTTATTATTTCACCATCTGTAATATGCTGGGTAGTTTGTAAATTTGCAAGTCAAGCTACTTGCAAGATTTTCTCTTATTTTGTGAAGTGTCTATTTTCTCAGAAATTATAGGTGCTACATAAGAATACTTTGCACAACTTGCTGTCCTTCTTGTGATATGTACATTCTGAAACACTTTATCATTTGATTTTATTTTAAAACCTTCTATAACGGCTATAAGTGATTCCTTTTTATTAAATAGGCTTTGCTTGCCCCAAGACAACTCATTCCTGATTTGTTTAAATAATAGGAGTATAGGATGCAATTCATTCTGAGGCTGCATTCTTTAACTGAATAAAAGCTTCTGAGTGGGATTTATGTTGCTGCTTTCTCCAGCTGTAGGACAAAATAAAAAGATTTCACTTAACAAGAGGCTGTCAAATATGATCAATATTGATGATGATTGCTCTTGTGATTCTCACAAATCCAGGGTATTTTTAAATTTAAAACATTCTCTATGTTCTCTTTATGAATACAGACTAAAACTATATGAGCACATGCTTCACTCAGAACTGCAAAAAGTATGTGAAATCTCATCTGGTTTAGGGAAACTCCAGCAAGAGCATAAAACCCATCAACACATTATTCACTGTTGAGACTGAGGTACCTGAGGCTGCTCAAAACACAGCACAATGGCAGACATAGGAGCAAAACTAACCCATGCATAATAAATACATGAATTTACCCAGCTGGATTGTTTAGACTAACACAGTGAATAACAGCAGAGACATAAAGAGAATGCAACTTCCTCCAGAAAAATCCGGCAGATTTTTGTCAGCGCTTTTTCAGACAAAGCACTTTGCTAAAATGACACACAGTCTTGCTATTTGCTAAATGATTCAGAAAGGGGCAGTAGGGTGGACCAATGGGAGCTATTTCTAATGGCAAGCAAGACCGTGCACATTTCCTAAGAGTAACAACTAAGCCACAATTTTATTAGGTAAATAATTGATTAAAACACTTCAATTGAGCTGGTTTGGCGTGGTTTTTTTTTCCTCTTGGAGCACTTCAGAAACCGAAAGAGCAAAAGATAGAAATCCAAGCAGAAAAAAAAAATCTTTGCATTGGTGATTCATTATCACATTGACTTTAAATGCAACAGCTGCTAGATTCTTCCCTATTTGGGTTTTGAACATCCAGATGAGCTAATTTCTTTCCAACTGATCACATGCCTTATGGCAGAAGTGTGCATACTGACCACTCCTTATTTTCCTGTTGAAGTTGATTATTCAAACTATTTGAAAACCACTTTCTGATATAAGTCAAGGGCTTCTATGAAAGCAAAACCAGGTCACTTTTAATTCCCATGGAGGCTGTCAGTCCTAATAAACATACTAATAAATAAAATTTAAATGTATCCTGAAGCAGATAAAGTGTGACTAAGCACAATGACAATCTTTTGGTTCATCTTCTTGCTACAAAATGAGCTATGAGCTCATCCATATTAAAAAAAAAAAAAAAAGGTGCAAAAGTCAACAGAACAAGTTTCAGAAAACAGAGTTTGACAGGAAACCAAAATGAAAGTTTTAGCTATGTTGCCTGTTTGACTTCCTGCCTTAATTCATGTTTTGTGAGCTGCAGAACACAGAAAATGCAATGATTCGGTTTGTATTTTCAAAATGCAACACACACAAGACCAGAAACTTAACTGCCATGATCCCGAATGGTGATGGTCCACTTGTCAGGACCAAGAGAGAACCCTCCTCCAGCCTTCCCATTGGATTCTGAGACACAACACAAAAGCACTGTCTGAGAAGGTAAAAACTGTTTTACAGACTTTTATTGTGAGAACATTAAAAACCCATTTTACCATCTTATGGTATGGGAAAGTTCCTAGTGAAGTGCACTTTATGAAGCAGTGTCTATTTTGCTTTAAATTTTTTTATGTATTCTGCTTTTATGGCTACAGATTCTCTTGCAGATGTAGGACAGAAAACCAGCTGAGTACACTGGTACTTACTATAAGCTATTTACTTATATGTACGCAACTGTACAGCTATACAGGACAGATCAAAGACAATACTTGTGCTCAATCTGAAGCCCTGATCCTGCTATCGGATCTGCTTCAGTGGACTTTTACTGACTAGCAAGCTAATACTAGAACAAAGTTTCCTTACCCAGTAACTCAAAGCATTGGAGCCCAAGTTAATGCACCAAGTTAAACATGTGTTACTGTAAATGAGTGAGTTGAGAGGAGGGCACTGGACAAGTCTAACAACATCTCAGCTCATGGCAATGTTTTATTAGCATTACATGAGTATTACCTAAGCATAACACTTCTCCTAAGGTGCTATCTGGCAGGGAAGAACAGGTTCTCATTTTAAACCTATTTAAGAAGAAAAATGTAGAATTAGTTGTGTATCAGCAAGGTAAGTTAGGACAGCAAGGTAATTCTAGTTCTTACAGAAAAGAAAAACCACTAGAAAAACTTATTTGTAAAAATCCAGCCAGTTGGACACAAAATTATATAGGCAGGAGAAAAAGATATGATTATGGAGTAAACTGAATAAAAGCTGACATGGGACAAGCACTGGCACAGAGAGGTAAACAAAGCAGAAAAGGCAAGAAGGAGGGCAGTCTTCATGGGTGATCAAAGGAAGTTAATGAAGGCATCTGAAGAAACGTCAGTATGAGAGTTTAGGACTAGCAGTTTTCTAACAGGAGATACAAGAAGATCAGAGGGGGCAATATAAGCTGACTATGAGGGTGTGTTATCCAAATGCTGATAATTTCTGGATTTAGTAAAATCAGAGCAACAGAAATCTGTGTCAAGTAAAAATCCACCACACTAGCAGACAATCAGATAAAGTTTCTAAAAAACTCAGAGCAGGAGTGTGTAAGGGTAAGTGGAGATGCATTCTGGGTCAGTACCTTATACAACAATGCAGCCTCTTCCAAGGACAGGATTGTTACCATGTTACTTTGTTCTTGATATGCTTTTTTACTATTTCATAAATCTTCCTATTCGATAGATTCAGGCAAGTTGTATACCTGAAATACTTTCTGCTGTCCGGGAGGAACGTGTCTGTCAGTCACATGTGAAACAGTCTGCAATCTCAAGGAAATGATAGCAACATAGTAACAGCTGTTTCCAGACAACTCTGAGAAAAACTGGGTAAAGTCAGAAAATTTACATTTACTCATTGTACTAGGGGATTAATTGTATATGTTCCCTAGTGACAGATGTGGAGCACCAAGGTGGGTTGTGAAAAGCCTGGGTTACTAAAAGCTAACTCTAGAAGGTGTTTCCAGTTCAGCAAACTCCACGTGAATCCTTTTAACCTTCAGAAAATGATCTGCCTTCCTCTATTTGTACAGACTTACTATCCTTCAGGTTATTACTCTTGGAGGAAATAATTATTTTTTTTTTTTAATTCCAAATTGTGGTTTTTTTTTCTTGAATTTGTGAAGGGGACTTTCTGCATTCAGATTTTCAATTAAAATCTGCAACATCAATTAGCTTCTACTCGGCTCTATTCTTTACAAAATCCTTCTTGAGCAAGGATTGAATTCAGACAAAGAAATTCTTGCAAAAGAACTATTACAGTGACAGTTAAAATGTTGCTGAGACAATTATACCTTTACAAATTGCAGTAATTCTCTTTCATTTCAATAGATCTTAAGATGTGTTTATCATCAGTATATATCTTTCATGTGCCATCTCTAATAAAAATTTAACAACTCACAATAAGCAGTGTCATATCCTTGTCTGGACAGCAAAATACTGTACTACTACAAACAAACTAAAAAAAACCCTAACAAATGTCTCAAATGGTGTCTGTATATTCCTTAGATACAAGGTTTCAGGAAGGAAACAGATTTCCTCATCCTGTTAGTGTTCATAAACTGCCAAGATATCAGCCGGATGAACTCTTCCCACACTGAGGGGCTACAGTTGCTTTTTAGTGTTATTAAGCGACAAGCCAGTGTAGTCACCAAAATACTGAAAACTGTTTCTCCTCTAAGCAGGAGAAAGAACTCTTTCACACACAAAATATCAAAGCACAGTGTTACTATTGTTCAGCTGCTGAAAGGTGAGGCACTTGTCAAGCAGCATTCAAGCAGCTTTTCCTTCACTCAAACTGGAAATATTTACTGCTGCTACTGAAGTGCACTCTTCAACCAGCTCGCAGTGCAATGCATTTCTACCTAATGCATGAAAACAAGATGGTCACATATAAACTAAACCCCATGGGAGAATAATTCTTCAGCTGCAGAAGAACAAAAATTGCTGTACCTTGAATCTATCTAATTTTACTTTAATTATACTAAAAGTTGCACATTACATCAGAAGCATCCTTGGAATATCAAACTGCAGTTCTGAGTGTGCAAAGATTATCAACAGACTAACAAAGAAAATGTAGTGGACTAAAAAGCTAAAAATGAACTCTGATGCAACTCCTGAAAAGCAGGATAGCATTATTACAATCAAAATTACTTACATCACTGGTGCTTGTCATTACTTAAAATGTCAAGCAAAGCACCTTTAATTAACATGCTAAAATAATCTTTGGAATTTTCCTAATATTTTCATTAGTTGGTAACGATTAAGATGGACTGATCTGCAGTTAAATCCAGCTGCAAAGAACTTCTTTGCTAACCAGGAGGAAACCTACATATGTATTTATACATTTAGCCAAATTTTAATTTTTACAAGCTATTGTATTAGAACGCACTGATTTGCAATTCTATTTTTCTTACATTTCGTTGCAATCTGTGTCAAATAGCTTTTAGATTGAAATGGAAATTAAAATGCAAAAAAAGCATTTTTTGCTTTTAAACAAACGCATTCAGAATGCAAGTATTTAAGAAAATCTGTTACATACTTAAAATTTATCATGTTTTGCAGTTAATGTTATTTTTTCAAGTAAAGGAGAATATTTTATGTAATTACTGAATAAAATTAACAGTATCAGTTATTTTTGGACATCAGAGCCTTCAAGATTCTAATATTTATAGCCTCTACTGCCTAGCTTTTTATTCCAAAAGTATAAAAGGAAAAAAAGTTGCCTGATTTTTTTTCAGTTTCCAGAACACCTGTCATTTAAAATGAAAAAATACTATTTGCACCTGCAGAAAAGCTTCCAGTTGTCGAAAGTTATTTTATTACCCCCACAAAGTCTCATTCCAGGTGCTTAGCAAGAAAGTTCTATAGTTCTGTGATTTAATTTTCTTCAAATCTTTGGCAGTAATACATTAAGTCAGGGTCTTATTGTTGGTTGTCATTATTTCACATTTAGTTTTAAATTCTACTGTAATTTCTTCTTAAATGTTTCCTGACCATAATCAGTGATCAGAAAAGCATAAAAGAAGAGATTATAATGCAACAGTGAAAGTACTATTCATCCTGTGAAGCACAATGCAACAGTCAAAATTAGTGAGAATGCTCTTTTCTTCTCTCTCTTTTAAGGCCACAGTAAAATTAATATTAAGCCTATCTCATTATGTAGTAAACACTTTCTAATGATAAGAAAGCAAAATCCCTTTTCTTCAAAAAAAGCTTCAATACACAAGGAAGTGTGATGTGGTACAGACAAGCCACCATTCCTACTAACATTCCTACTCAACTGCAAAATTCTGTTTGATATTAACTACAGAGCTTCCAAATTTCCCAGTTTCATTTTCCCTGTAGAAAGAAAAATGCTCCTTGTTTTAATCACTAAACCACGCAAAATGTAAAGGCTGTGTACAAGTTATTTTAGCACGAAATGTCAGTATTTAATTTTAAATATGTCGCTTATGTGTTGTTTATTTTTGGCATTGCAATAGCAGTCAGAGGCTTTCATCAAAGTGTGGGGCTCCACTCTATAGGTGCTATTTATAGAGCTAATAATATACAAAGTCCTTTTCCTGACAAATTTACAAGAGAGGAAGCAGCACTATCCCTATACTCAGATGCAAAGCCAAGGTACAATAACAGGGACTTATTCTGAGTGTGTATAGAGAACTAAAGCATAAATAAAACTAAATGGAGTATTTAGAAAGCTTAACTTTTATACTGAAATTGTTTAAAATAAGAAAGCATCATCATGTATACATAATAAAGTTAAGACACTGGTTACATCAGAAGATCAAGAAGACTTGGTGGAACCAGAGTGCAATTCAGACCATGACCTTGAGGAATCTTTCTCTAGACTACAGTTGGACATTTTTCACCAGAAATCACAATCCTAGGACAAAATTGCTAGACTTTGACTATTACAAAACAACACAGTCTTCTTACCACAATGTGGTAGTTAAACATACATATGTTCTCCTAATAAAATTGTTTAATAACTTTGATGTAATGTAATGATGACCACGCTAAAAGAGATTATGATTTTCTTGTTTATTCATAAAATTCTTCAGGCAATAACCACCACACAGTGTTTTTGTATGCTAGTTGCACTGAATTACAACAGTCTTTGGATCACACAAGTAAAATTTTATCTTTAAATGCAGACACAAGCTGAGGACAATACCCTCCCAATTTTTGTATGTTTCCTTTTCATTCTTACATCAGAGAGAAACCTAGGAAATGTTTACCATTCTCCAGTGATTTTAGTAGTAAGAAAAGACTTAGAATATAGAATCATAGAACAGTTTGGGTTGGAAGGGACCTTAAGGATCATCTAGCTCCAACCTCCCTGCTATAGGCAGGGTCATCTTCCACTAGATCAGGTTGCTCAAAGGCCCATCCAGCCTGACCTTAACAGGCCTTCTCTAACACTCAAAATGTTACAGGATTAAGCTTTATGTTTGACAAGTTATGTTAATTAAGGCATCCTAGTGTTCTTTCTCATTTTATCACACTTATTTGATAATTCTGTATTCCTTAATATGTATTCAAATTTCAAGTTCACAAGGCACTGTTTTTAAGTAATTAGCTTGGACCTTTTTTGCCTCCAACTCAGTCAATGAAGAAAACAAAGTCATGGCAATTACTTCCATTTAATTTTAATTAGATGGTACTTCATGTTGTAAGAGAATAATGACCAGAAGTAGCTTTCTCCAGATGGATCATATCTGATGCCACTCTTTAGTCTAAACAATTCAGCTTGTAGTAAGACATCTTATAAACACTGGAAATGAAAAGCCAGGAAAAAACCCACTCTACGTAATATCTTGCTCTTTGCAGTCTCTACCCCTATGTTACTGCTTTGAACAAGAACAGCCTTTTTTTGGCAGTTAACACTATCACAGGGCCATGCACAACTCTAAAATAGAAGCAATTTTGTAGCTCTGCTCTGTAAACACTTGAATGCACAAAGTTTTAGAATGACTGTTGAAAATAAAACTGTTAAAACAGCATCCAAAAGCTAACATTAAGTCCAAAACCACACAGCAATTTGTGGCCAGTCTTAATGCAGAATATATTCCTATCTTCCCACATATGTCTTAGGACTCCCAATAAACCTTAAAAGCAACTGCTGAACTCTGGCATTGCACATCCCTTATTTCACAGGCTTTAACTATAGCAGCACCATGCAACTTGGCCTGCTTGGGATTCAGACCTCAAGGTTTACAACTGTGACAGATCTTAAAAAAGATTTCCTGTCTACCATTCCCATTCTCCACAAAAGGTTAACTTGCAACATAAGGTCCCTCAGTCTCTGGAGAATTCTATGAGAATAGGATTTTTATTGAACACTCCTTTAGTCCTTTTAGTATACAGACTTCTGACATGGTTCTTTTTGCCTGAATTCCTAAAAGACAATATCTGTAGTCCAAAGACTCTGAAACAGTTGTTTGAAAAGGGCTGTTTCTATCCTCATGTTCAACTCTTAATACTTTGCCCATAGGCAGGAGAAGCTAGCAGCTGACATATGAATTTCTCGTGCAAGTCCTGTCTTGAAATTTTTTCCTTCTCCCTTTCTCTGTCTAGTCTTAAAAAATCCACCCTTGTATGCAAGGGGAAAGAAGCTCAAAGCAGAAAGAGATCTGGGACCACCACAAGTTTCAAGCTTGTTTAGGAATTATGACAGAAGATGACAAGACAGATGTAGAATTCAGGGATAAGTGATACATGTACTATGTTAAAGACATTTTTGAAAACCTTTTGCCTTTTTTCATGGAACATCAATAAAAAGTTTACTTCTCTAAATACCTTTCCACATCTCTGATGCAATGTGCGGAGCCATAGGTGCAACCATAATGCAGAGTGAAGCCAAAGCATCTTCAAATTCTGTGCTGTGGAGAATAAGAGGCTGAGAAGCTTGCTAAATGAAAAGACAGAAGGAAAAGAAATGAAATTGTTAAAATTCTGAGGTAGGGGGGTAAGTAGTTTAAATTAAGAAGAAAATGCAATAATAAAACCTAAAATCAATGTCTATGCTTAGGACAGCATAATTTCACAATAAAATGGAAATTTGTGAAAAGTTCTGGAGAAATAAAATTGCAACTCTTGGTCACAGAGTGCTCTTCTCTAACACTTGGAAGCTAATCCTGAAGAGGCTGATGCAAGCCCTTGGGGATCTGCTCTAGTACATGAGTCTGAGCACAGACCCATCTAGACAACAGTGGTCCTCAAAAACATTTTGAGTGCTGCCACTTATAGAAGTGCAATCTTATGTAAAACTAGAGCTATCTGAGAAGAGGTGCTTGTATAAGAGAGTCAAACTGTGCTGAATGCAGCATGGTTTTTGTTGAGATAAGGTTCAGTTGTACAGGATCTTAGAGTGGCTTTTGTAAAGCTGAGTTTAGTGACAAAGGCTTTAGAGCTGAAGGGAACTTCAGGAATGAAAACTGCAGCACAGGCTCTTACAGTTTAATGTTCAGATTGCTTTAGTAAAGTGTTCAGCTTATCTAGTACAGAAGATTTTCCATTTCTTGCAAAAGGTGCTAGACTGACAAAATTGGAACCTTCATTCCTCTATTTATTGTATCTTAGTAGAAAAGATAGAGCACTAAAAGTAACCGGATGAACTTTTTCTTTCTTTGCCTGTTTGAGAGATTACACCCCCTGGTAAATTCAGATTCTGTGTTTATTTTTTAATTCACTCCTCTAAAGAAACAGCACAGAAAAACGTCAATGCCAATCAGCTTACAAGAATTACCTGGTGGGTGTGGTGAACACCTCTTCCCATCTACTAGAAAAATGACCAAAACGTGTGATTTGACACAGCCCACAAATATTGTCAGATGGTATCTTTTAACATTGATACTGATAGTTCAGTGCAAATTAGATTTGACTGCATTTCAGTAACTACTACTTGCTTTCTATATTTAACTTTCACCCACCTCCCCACTTCCTCCTTTCAAATGGGAGCAAAAGAGGAAGTGTCAGCATGCTATACAGAAACTTGTTCTTGAAAGATACTGCACTGACTTCTTTGGTCAAAAAATATGTCAGTGTTCAAAACATCTGTCTGTAGGACACCAATTTTTATTTATGTTTTTTTTGACATTCACTCATCACCATCCAGCAGCCCAAAAATGCATATGAATCACTGAGCTGGAGATAAAGAATCAGTGTGTCACCTTCCCAATACCACACAGAATCCCAGACTTGTTATCTCAGTGCAGCACTTGTGCACATCCCACTTAACTTTTTGTTAAATTCCTTAAATTTGTCAATAATCTCCTTGGAATCCATAAGGCATAAGTGGTATTTCAATAAAGAAGTTGCAAAATCCAAATTTTGATTTGATTTCTGGTCTAGATCAGGTTACCATTATACCTGAAGGATTGCTCAACCAGATCTAAGAGTAGCAACAAAAATAGTGATAATAGTTTATTATATTTGATCTACGGCCACTGGCTGATAAACAACATAATCTAAATAAAAAATGCTAAAGACCTAAGATATGTTTACATTTGTTTTAAAAAAGGGAATTTGCAAACTCTAGCAGACAATTCAGTGGTGAAAGCTGTCTCTGAGGAATGTAAGATTATGTGTGATTTTCTTTGCAAAGAATAACCTTTTCCTTTAAATCAGAATGTTTGGTAATTCTATAATAAACTACTATACCGAGCTATCTATGCAACTTGGTTAAAAACAAAAGAGAACAAAGAACAGAGCTAAACGAAATGTATTCTTTTGAAATTACAGGATGCAGATGTAAACATCAGGATCTAGTGACTCTAATACCATCAAGCTCTTCCTGCAAAAGTATGTGTTTCAGTGTTACGGTGATACTACAATGTGCTGCTTTTGAACTGAATAATTCCATGAGGTTCTCGACTTAGTGGCAAAGTTTATGTCAGTAAATGACTTATGGAAGCCTGGACCTATAGCTCAGGCAGCTCCTGCTTTGTATAAAAATTTACAGGAACAGGGTCTGAGAGAAAAATACCTTCATTAATATCATGTACTTACATGGAGTATATTAGTGAGGCTCATCAATCGGGAAATAGCTGCATTGAACAAATGATGCTTTGTGAAGTACTCTGTTACCTGGTATTAGAAGAAAAAGTTTATCACTAATTACTTAAAATTCTCAAACATGGAATACTAGGGTTTTAAATGAAAAAGAATTATTGATTATCAATTTCAATTTGTGAAATATGCCCATCTTACCTCTTACATGAAAATCACTCAGGCATGCAAATACATCATATATGCAATCACATGTGTGTATGGGAAAATAATAATCATATAAAAATTCAGTTGAATAGCTTCCCCTCTGTTTCAGGATTTTAAAAGCTTCAAGCAATGCCAATGACAACTGTGTATTAGTAATCACTCTCTATTTCCTTTAATAAAATTTATTCGCTATGCCCCTACAAGAAGCCTTCATATTTGTAAATCCTATTATATTGGTGAAAGCTTGTCCATAGATTGCAAGATTATAATTCTAAAGTCTGTTAAAAGACCTGAAAGGTCTCTCAGCACAGACTTTCAATCAGGAAAAGTTTTTATCTGTAGAAAAGTATTTTAAGTTAATTTTGGAGTTATTTATGTCTCCTTCTGAGTCCTGGATAATTGAATTGACACTAATCCCAGCGTGGACAGCACATAAGAAGAGATGAACAATCACTTTAGGATACACCAATATATTTTCACCAACAAGTTTTTTTCATTCGATATGAAACATCAGGCATGATAATGAGACGTGAAGCAAACGGGTCAAAAAGTTCTGTAGGGATAACCTGCATAAGTCACCTATAGCTTTGCTACTGGAAATGGAGTTACTTGAAACCCAGATTGATAACTTTTTAATGCCATAACATTTCATCCTTTCAAGGAGGCACACAGAGGAGAGAAATTTTGCCAATCAAAATCTTACTATTTTGCAAAAAATTCTATCCCACAGAATTTGTAAGTAAATGAAACTACTTATATAGAGAATAATTAACTTTAAAATTATGAACCTCTCATCTGGAGAAAAAGCTTTTGGCTCTGTAAATCAAGCATACACTTTCAGCATAAGCAGCAACTTATTTAGACATTTACAAACTATGTAAGTGTTTCTTTTAACCTCAGAAATCACCAGATTCTTCTGCTCCCAGATCTTTCTGGCTTCAGCCTTCTCTTTCTTATTCAGAAGTTCAGGATTAGGCATGGTTCCTGAAGTCCTTGCTTCAATAAGTTTGGTTACAAGCATCCAGAGGCGTGTCTGCCATCTCTGAACACCTGGTATAGCATCACCTGAGATTAACAAAAGATCGTAGAAACAAATTTCAGTTACAATGAATGAATCCAAAACTTTGAAGAAAAGCAGAAAGGAAACTGAATGCTAAACATTTTTTACAACCCCCCTGTATTTTAAATTGAAAGTGTCAATGCAATTAAAAAGATCTTTACAAATAATTCTGGGTTGCCTTCACGGAAATAAATCAATAAGATAAAACAAAAGTATCTTTCTGCAATGAGTTTAAAATAAATATATGCAGCAAGAATATTTGCTACATCTGTAAAATAACCCATGTCAATGTTAGAATGCTCACCTCGTGTTTTAATGACAACAAAACATGCTCTCATTTTTCAAACTCATGGAAGAATACAAACACACATATATATATACACACACGCATGCACACACATTTTTTAAATTGAGAGGTTTCTTCTAAAATTTGATTTTAGAAATTATATATACTTTTGTGCTACAGAAATGCTACTGTGCTAATGACTATAGCCTCTGATCTTTGGTATCATCTTTTGACACATCTTAGTTTGGGATGGGGAGATTATAAAGTTGCTCACACTGACCCTGCAGGCATCAGTCCCCCTCCATGGCGGCTCTAAGAATGCGTTTCTGTGACCTAGGGACTGTGCTACAGAGAGGCCCCAAGCTACTGTTGCTCACAGCCAGGTCCTCCATGTGGTATGGTGCAGGGCCACTACTGAGGTGTGGCACTGATAAGGCTTTAGCTTTCTCTTCCAGATGTGTCATGTTTCTACTAGACTGCACAGCACTACATCCCATTGCACTGCACAGTATCAACACATCCTAAGACATCCCAGCTGGCAAGAGCTTCCAACTCTGCTCTGGCAACTGCACTTGAAAAGACTGCCAGGGCCACTGCTAAACTGGGAGAATTACAAGACATGTGAGTGACTGTAATACAGGTGGATTATCTGTCTGATTATGCTAGATGAAAGACTTCCTGCACATCTGGGAACAGTAAAATAGAACCTGATTGACTATATCTGCACGATTCTCATGAACTCTCATTGGTGGTACTGGGAATACGATGCTCTCTCCAAACCTTCTATCTCCTGTTCATTCCAGAAGCATGTAGATCATCTAGAAATGGTAGGCTTGTCTTTATCTGACCTGTAATAATGGTGTAATAACCTGCTGGGATGTTTGACCACATCTGATCCCACAAAGTCTGGAAGACTGCTTGTCCACACCAGGGGGGAGGGGGAGAGAATGACATGAGGCCCTGCCTTCATGCCCACCACTGAAAAGACAAGGAATCGAGTCTGCAGGGCAATCCTCAAAAGGCTATCAAAACACAGTGAAGAGAAGGATAATGGCAACTGAAAATCTGTATTTAATAGTATCTTGTCACATCCTGCTCAGATGAGGGAGGCAAGTGACTCAGATTCATAAATCCCCAACGGAGCAGACAACGGTGAGACAAGTATCAAAGTCCAAACATTTATTGACTTCCCACAATGTACTAACTGGACACACGATAATTGGCTAAGTATATAATGAGTTGTGGCAAGCAATACAGTATGCCTTGCATTTCTTAAAGGTAGTGAAGGAAAAGGGGAAAAAGGAAAGGAGGGAGACGGAAGAAATAGAGGAATAGAGATCACTGGTCTGGGTTCCTGCATCAATCCCACCAGTGAGTGTTCCAGGAGGCATCCGTCTTCTTCACTCCACTCTCTGGGTCACCCTCTCCTCTTTCCTACCCTTTGATTTATGCACACACTCCTTGGGTCCATCCCCTAGGCTGACCTACATACATATGTATCCCATGTATGGGGAGGGGTAAGGTATTTCATGGGATGATGTAATTAGCATGATCTTGTTAGTCTTCGTTAGCATATTCAGGAATGGCATTTATTAACTTTAATATGCATTTTGTGGATAATGAAACAAAGGTCACTCACTGGACAGATGGCCCTTGAAATCTGGCCAGGTGCACCACAGCAGAGCCGTCCTGTCTCCACAGGGCTTCCCTGTCCAGCTGCATCCTGTGTTATTTGGGCAGCCTCATCAGCTTTGACCTCCACACTATCCACTCCGTGACTGTAGTTTCATCTTGCAAGCGTTTGAGGCATTCCTTAGCTCGGAAGATCTCCACTCCCCCTGCTAATTTTTATGTCTTTCTCAGGATGTTTTTCTCAGTCCATGTTTCTCGCAGGCCTGTTTTTACAAGTTGTCTCTCACATCTCTGAATAAGACAGTTTTCTATATTGGGTTTGTATGGCAAGGTTTTGGTAGTGGGGAGGCACAGGGGTGGCTTCTGTGAGAAGGTGCTAGAAGCTTCCCCTGTGTCCAACAGAGCCAATGTCAGCCGACTCCAAGATGGACCCACTGTTGTCCAAGGCTGAACCCACCAGTGATGGTGGTAGCACCTCCATGATACTTATGAAGAGGGAAAAAAACTCTGCAGGAACCTGCAGCTGGAGAGATGAATGAGAATATGTGAGAAAACCAGCTCTGCAGACACCAAGGTCAGTGAAGAATATGGATGAAGTGCTCCATCTCTGCTGGAGCAGAGATTCCCCTGCAGCCCATGGAGGTTAACGTGGGAGCAGATCTCCACCTGCAGCCTGTGGAGGATCCCACGCCGGAGCAGGGGGATGCACCCGAAGGAGGCTGTGACCCCGTGGAGAGCCCGCGCTGGAGCAGGCTCCTGGCAGGACCTGTGGCCCCGTGGAGAAAGGAGCCCACACTGGGTCAGGTTTGCTGGCAGGACTTGTGACCCTGTGGGGGACCCACGCTGGAGCAGTCTGCTCCTGAAGGACTGCACCCCGTGGGAGGGAACAAAGATGGAGCAGCTGGTGAAGAACTGCAGCCCGTGGGAAGGACTCACGTAGGGGAAGTTCAGGGAGGAGTGTCTCCTGTGGGAGGGACCCCACGCTGGAGCAGGGGAAGAGTGTGAGGAGGAAGGAGCGGCAGAGACAATGTGTGATGAACTGACCACAACCTCAATTCCCTGTTCCCCTGTGCCACCCAGGGGGAGGAGGTAGAGAAATCAGGAGTGATGCTGAACCCAGAAAGAAGGGACAGGTAGGGGGAAGGTGTTTTAAGGTTTGAATTTCTCATTACCCTACTCTGATTTGATTGGTAATAAATTAAATTCATTTTCCTGAGTTGTGTCTGTTTTGCCTATGATGGTAACTGGTGAGTGATCTCCCTTTCCTTATCTCAATCCATAAGCCTTTCATCATATTTTCCTCCCCCTGCCCACCTGAGGGAGGAGTGATAGAGCAGCTTTGTGGGCACCAGGCATGCAGCCAAGGTCAAACGCACCAGAACTTGCTTAATTTCTTCAATTTAAACATTTGTTATTTTGTTATCATTAAGAAATTCAGAACAAGCTTAAAAATTTAAGAGATGCTTTTCACCTACTTTCCATTTTTCTCCCCTGGAAGTATCTTTAGGCTGCTAACATCTTCTTTTGTCCACATCTTCCAATACTCTTTTGACATGCTATGACTCCAAAATATTTCTTTGTATTTCTCAAGTGGTAAACAGGTTGGTTTGAATGACTTAATGCATTTTTTGCTAGCATTATACTTGCACATACTTAGCTTTCTTAAAAAATGTTCAACCACTAAGCTCTAGTATACTTTGCAGCTATGATTTTGTACCCACTGTTCTCACACTAATTATTCCATTTTCAAGATGGACACATACAGCAAAATGATTGTGCGTCACTGAATTAGCTGCTTCAGAGGAAATTATGTACCTGTGTACTGTTAGTGATGCAGGAGTTAAAGCTTGATTCTAGCTTGTTTTTTTAAAGAGACCTTTTCATACGCCTAGCTCTGTACCGTTGTGATTAGATGGTGACAGAAAGCCAACTGAGAAAAGTCATAAAGCCCACTCCTCCAGTACATACAATAGTGCAATAATATATAAATGAATACATATTAATATAAAGGGTGACAAATACCAACTGAAATAATGCTTATTGCAGGCTGAAGTAAGTAGTAAGAAGCTAACATGAGAAAGAACAAGGGAGTACACTCTTTAAACCAGGCATGGAGTGTTTTATTAAAGCCTTATTCACAAGAGGGCTAGACTTAACTGTATGCATAAGACTACCTTAAAATGTGTGAACCACAGAAGATAAAAAAAATTAAGATCTGTCAGTATGACAAACTGCATGATGACAGTAAATAAGTGCATAGGAGGGTAATATCTGAACTTATTCAAGAAATAAGCTTATAAAAATGTCCTATGTGTACAAATATTAGTTACTGGGAACTCTGATTATCTTCTCGTGAGATCCTTCTGAGAAATATTTCATAGTCCAGCTTACAAAAGCCATTGTATATGTGTGTAAATAAATGGAAATTAAAAAATATTGCAATTTATCTGTAATCTGATTTTAAAAGCATCTTATTACAAAGAAAAAAATCTTAATCATTTTCAGTCAATCGTAGCTAATAAAAAATACTGCAGAATAAAATACCACTTAAGAAATATTTTTCATACATCCTTTTAGTTTGTAAGAGGTAAGCTGTTTGCAATAATCTTGCAAGCCTGCCTCTCAGTGACAGCCTCGTGACCCTCTCTCTTTTAAAAGAAACAAACAGTAAAACCTGCTCTTTACACTTTTTTGATTCAGTTGTCCCAAAAATTGGGCATGAAGAATTGTATTAATTTTGTCTTTAAAATATAACACATTGGAAAAAAACCAAACCAAACCAAACCAACAGAAACAATCCAACTTACTTTTAGCATCCCACAAAATGTCTTGTTCTGGAGGAGCAGCAAACAGAATGTAAAGACGTAGGGTGTCAATGCCATACTCTTTCATTATTTTTTCAGGGTCTATTCCATTGTGCTTAGATTTGCTCATTTTTTCCCAAGTAACTTGGAGCTTCTCACCAGTGTTTAGGTGAACTGGTTCGGTTCCTAAATATTAAAACATATGGAAAGTATCAAATTTTGCTTATTTGTAACAGCAATTAATGTTGTTCCCTAAGCCTAAGAAAACCCAACTATTTCTAGTGGGGGTTTTTGGTTTCCAAACAGCTTAAAGAGGAAAAACACCCGTTGTAAACACCTGCTTCCCTCCCAGGTTTTTCCTACTCTAATGTTTTAACACAATTAATAATCCAAATGCTTCCACTTTACATCCTTACAGAAAGTCTCCTTCTACTATCTGGAAGCTGTATCTGGCACTCATCCTATGTGCTACCTTGATAGCCCTTGAGATTTAAGCATTGTTATAACCATGCCATCTAAAACCTTCTAGATATGTGTATTGATTTGGTACAATTCTGACCTGCATTTAGGATTTACAAACACCAGATTTAATAGGTTTCAACTGCAGTAAGTTATCCTGACAAGAACATGCCTTCTGTGAGATGGAAAGGGGCATTTATACCAATAAAGGTGTGACCAAGCAAAACCACCTGCTACAGAAAAGCGCTAGCTTTTCTGCAAGAAAGTAAGATAGCAGACAGTGGTAAACGTGTTTTGTTTGTTTGTTTTTTATCTGATTTATGGGGGTTGTATGCAGGAGAAGAACAGTGAAAACAAGGTTCTGTGAAAGGAGTGATTATGGGAGGCAAATATGACCAAACCACTCTTGTTGCTACAGGTCCCCAAGGACTTGCCGCTCCAGCTTATGCAGTGAAAGCACTGGAAAGGACTTGAGAAACACTCAGTGAAAAAGTGAAAGCACTTTTTCCTACACCCATTCTACTTTCCTAATATCTACTGAATACATCAACATCTGTGTTAGCTTTGCCACAATGTTTTTGTAGGTCACCTGTTTGCTGGGACTACTAGCTCTGTTCAGCAAGCTGCTGAGCACTGTCTTAACAAAACTGACTTCTGATCGTTTGGACTATTCTGGAGCTAAAATAATACTATAGCACTGTTTATGTGTTTGGATGAAATTAAGAACTGCTGGATTAGTAAGGTCTCCATGCACACAGCAGTGCATATGGATCCAAAAATCACAGAAGTTGCTCTCCAGTTCAAATATTACAAGGATTCATTTTCTCTTCCAAATTTTCCCAGCACTGAGACTTGTACACTGAAGCAGTCCCTAACTTTCTGGATGCACCTATGCTGATTTTCCCATGCAGTCTCTCTTACCAGTGAGATCAACCTCCTCTCTCTTCAAACACTGGCCTGTTGTTGTTAGTCTGAATGTCTGATTCTTGATAAGACCTTGAACCAAGAGCTTATGGAAAGGCTCCCTAAGGATGGAAGGAAAAAGAAACTTGTCTGTTGAAAAGAACTGTCAAAAGCATACTTAATGATAAGCCTCAGGTGTTGAGCCAATCAGGCACAATTATTTAATGAAACAAGAATTTCAAGTTGACTATACATAAATGGTTGTCACCTTAGAAAGAGTACTTTGTGCATTTATTCATGGTGGCTAGCTGGCAAGTATTTATTTGTATTCTGCACACATTCTGCATCCCAATTTAGTACTAAGTTATTCTACTATCACTTTCCAAATTAGCATATGGATAATGAACACAAGTTTCTTGGCCAACAGCACAATTTCACTAACTTCAAGGTAAATCCCCATGTATAAAAGTGCTCAAGCACCTGGCCTCAATATCTTACGAATATTTAGTTCTAGCTTCTCTCAGAGGAGCACAGTATTTTGAACAAATCAAAATCTTGCTGCACATTTCCTTCTATAAACAAAGAAGATAGTTTCTCTAACATAAGCACCTATATGCCTTGTCCCTTTGTAGAAGTAGCCATGAAGACCTAGCTGTAAGAAAAAAGTACACTACACTAGTAAAGTAGCAATACTAGAAAGTTCATATATCAAGTGGATCATTTTTTTTAGCATTTTGAACATTAAAACTTTACTCTTCTAGCAAAATTTACATCAGGAAGAGTAAACTCTCATCAAATGTGTGCATGATAAAGCTAAAAAGAGTCTTAAAAGCATCAAAGCTAAAGGCAGTAGTGCACTCAGCAAGAACTAAACTCTAAGTACTGCTCTAGTTGACAGATACATTATTGCAGTCACCTCCTTTAATGATCTTGCATTTCTAATTTATTGAGTCAGATGTCTACCACTGTTTCCACTGAAAAAAAGACAACAAAATTAATCTCTAGAGGTTTTGGTGCCCACTCAATAGGCCTGGAAAGTAAGGCAGTTCTAACAGCAGCTCCAGTGGGCCAAGGAGGAGATAGGGAGTGAGACCCAGAAAGCATACACAGTCTGGGCGGCCTTCTCCTTGAATCCTCCAACACAAAGACATTGGTGACCATCATTTTCGAGGATGTGCTAATCCGCCGGTTACCACATCCTAATGCTCACCTGTGCTCATCGTTAAACAATCTGAATCCTTCACACTTTCACCTAAAAAAGCCCCACATAGCTACCAATACAACTTAATGTAAAAAGGATGCATTACTCCTATTTACATATTTTTTAAAAGCTAGAATAAATCCATCTAAAGAAGACATAGTAAAAGCAGACTTCCATATTTTACTTCACATGCACAAAAAAAACATAATCCAAAACTCTACTCACTTTTAAGGAATTAATTTAGTATTTTACATTATTAGGAAATATAAATTATATGACATTTTATATATGATTTAAACCACAGTAATTTATTTAATAATACAGTATTATTAAATTATATAACAGTTATGCATGTTTTAACTGTATTAAAGCAGATATCTTCCAAGTACTAGTCTCTAAACCCTTTTGATGACTTTGAATTAATGAGATATTTGAAAGAAAAGCCTTAAACTAGGAGAGAGAAAGTGACAGGCTTCATACTTTATCTTCAACATATTCATGTTTGAACATGAGTTTCCTTCCTTGCATATTTTGTATACTTGTAAATATTGTGCAAGTACTGGCACATAGAGGTGTATTGCTCAGTCACCAATCAGTACAAGTCTCTGCCATGCCACCTGGTTTTATCAACAATGTTAAGTAAGAGTAGTAATTCAAGCATCTCTAAATATTTTCTAGACTATTTCACAAGCTGCCTCGAAAATCCTGTTGTTTAGAAATAAAGCAACTTAAGATGAGAAGTGAAGTCAAATTTAGACAGTACAAACAAGTATTTTAAAAATAGGAAGCAATCTAAAATCTCAAATAATTATCTCAAATTATCCAAGTGAATTACAAGATGAAAATCAGGAACAAAATCCTTGTAATCCTATCATCAACAAATGGTGGGAAAATGCTTCAGGAGATAACTGTTCAGGTTAAGTTTCTTTTACGAACTAAAGATATCACAGTAAGGAAAAATAAAAATAATTTTTCTCCCTATCATTCAGTACTTCAGTCTAAGATCTCAAACAGGTATTAAAATAGCTACACTTGCTGCTATCTAAAATTAAGCTAACGAGGTAGCCAGAACATCCAAATTAGATAGGGCTCTCCACTGGAAATGATTTTTCAAGGAACACATATTTTTAATGACAGAGTGAGTTCAGATCATATGTGAAGTTATTAAAGCTCAGTGAAGGAATAAGCATTTCCTATTTTTGTTTATGCTGACAGAGGCTACAAAAATGCAATACAAAATACATTACCAAGTATGGGGAAAAAAACTCCCATGTGTTTCTAGTGGGAGACCGCAAGAGAATGGAGACATGCCCAAAATGAGAAAGCCAGAGCCCATCTAATAAACACAGGGCTCAGAAACAAATGGAGCCCTGTACTGAATTTCTCCTGAAGTGCACAGTAATTTTGCCAGTGCTGTGGTGGCTCCATCTCACGGTCACATGCAGAGTTACACTTTAATTTACAGTAATAAAATCACACACCTAAAACCTTCCTCCTCAGAGAAAGCAATGTGTTTCCTGGCTGCAGAAGGGAACTGACAAGACGCCACAGCACATCAGGTGTGACGCAATTCCGACCTAAATACTAGAGCACCCAGGCATGGCCTGGTGTCATAAATACCTCCTGAGCCATACCACTGTCAACAACTGAAATTAAGCTATGTGCAGACAGATGGACATTTCCAGCACGGTAAAAGAAGAGGCGCTCAATTGCATTTTGGACTGTAAGGATGCTGGAACAGGATATGCTCTCACCAGTCCATGAAGTAAGTCTGTGCTCATGTTGGATGGAGTATGGGCACTAGGGCCTTAGTTGTGTGAAGTTTTCAGTCATGTTGTAGGTCACATGGGATCCCACCTGGGAAGTCTGCCTGACACCTCTGAAAAGGATGAGCTGTGCCATGAAGTGTGTAATCAATTTTTTTTCCTTCAGTAACGTTCACATACAGGTTCATCTCTATGACAGACCAATCTCGCTGTATAGGAGCACACAATGGATGGATGGGCAAGTGTTAATGACAGATCAGAAACTCCTGCTCAGTGCCATGTCCTAATGCTCCTCACTCTGCTCCATGCAAGGTGAACAGCAGGACTTTCAATCCTGTTACAAATGACCTGGCTGGAAGGACTGTGTGGAGCCTGCAACAGTGACAAATAGCAGACTCGAAGAAGGGATGGCCCTAGCAAGGGAGCTCACTGCACGTGTTTGCATTCTGCACCTTTAGAAAGGCTGAGGGAGCCCAATGATGTGCCCTAGAGTGAAGACAAGACCTTGGTCAGTCACTGTCAGCTGAGTTCAGGTGCTTGTGAAACCTGCTGTTAGATCTAGCTGCAACAATCTGGCAATCCTGTGGAAGGCCAAAACAGGAGTGACTGGAGGATGTGGGAGCTGATCATTTCAGGCAGAAACTATCAAACAATATTGAATGTTTGAGATTTTACACAGTCAATAGCTGAGTGCCTTTACTTAAAATCAACACTAGTGATAAAGTTCCTAATGAATGCAGAGAAGCTCTAACATCCTTTCTTCACAGAATAAGCTATTCCTGTCACACACATATCTTTTTTTATTCTGTACTGCAGCTATGTGAAAATAGTGCCTTCTTACTCAACAGAGTTGCTCTCTATCAGGTCAAATCTGCTGATTTAATGGCAACAATAAACTTCTTTATTGCTTTATAACCCTTCAGGGACAATGTGCAAGATCCCATTTCCAATTATGCATCAGAAAGAACTGTTTACTAAATATAGGGAAGAGCTGAATTCTGTGTAACTTGTACTTGCAGTAATACAGTTGAGCAGGTGTAACTGAGTGTGTCAGCACACCCTTGCCATGGTGGATTAAGCTGAACCAGATGAGGAGGTTGCTGGTCCCAGCTGCCTACCTGGCTCCTCTCCCAGCAGTGGTCACAGCTGGGAGGGCTGACTGGCTTGTTAATTAATTCTAGAACTGATGCACTTTATAGACCAGATTGCTAACACAAAATTACATCAATTTGAGCTAAATCTGTTATCACATGTATCAATACCCAGAGGGTGCCATTTATTGTGTGTTGTCATTACTGAGGAAATGAGTAACATTTCCTGCCATCTCCAGTTCAATGCATCAAAAAAACAATGCCCATCTTCAGGAGATATTTAAATTGTATTGCTACCTTTACAATTTTAGATGCCTACAAACATTGCATTTTCTACGGAAGCACGTGTGATATCTTTAAATGCCTATTTTATATATGATGCCTATAATGTACATCATATTTGAAGACAATGTTCTGAAAATCTAAACTACACAATTTTAAACTTTTGTTTTCAATTTCATTATTATATTAATAGCCATTAATATAGAATTAAAGACTATCAGGAAATATTTCGGTGGATTTGGAAGTCAGAGGATAGGAGCCAAACAATGAAAATTTCCATGAAGAAAACCTATAAAAATGAAAAATTACTATAGATTAATAGAGGAATCATAAAAATTTGTCAGGACACTAGATAGCAATTTAAATGGTGGCAGCTCTCATTAACTGAGATATAACACAATTTTACTAATTTAATCAGTGAACAAGACCTGAGTTACTTGGGAAAGATTGAAAAATGCACAAGGGGGCAGTGTTTTTTAAGATTTTAATGTTTTCCCTCGGAGCTGTGGACTTCAACACCATGACTTTAAGCTTCCTAACAATAAACTTGCTGTTTCTAACTACCCTTTTCGTATCTTAGGACTGCTCAAAGGCTGGTCTAACAGAAAGCTGAGCAAAAGTGGCTTCTAACAATGCTAAAACATTTAAAATGCATGGTAATATTTATAAAGGGGTTTCAATTTCCACATCAAAACAAAATCCTGATTTGACTTCATGGCTTAAGAGCACCTAATGCTTTAACTTGCATAGAGCTAAAGCAAGCAAACAATTTTGTGCATGATGATGAATTTGTTACAGTCATCTTGCAGTCTGAGCACACAGAGAAGCAGTACAAACAACAGATCCTAGGGGCAATGATGTAACGTATCTTCACATGTGCAACAGTTCTTGAGATTGTATATGGTGTCAAAGGAATTCTCCACAGTCTCGCAAACTACTTCTACAAAAAGAAATTTTTATTTTCTCTGCTATTGTCATTAGACATAGTGCTGAAGCATTTTTTTTTAATTGAAGTTAGAGTTTTCTTCTGCAATTTAGCATATTTAGACCAGCCTACACTACACAGCTTTGGTACTACTGCTCTGTCACAGTGGAATGTAAACAAGACACATTCCAAATTAATACAACTGCAGAATCACTGTCTTAAAATAATGTAGGTTGGAAGGGACCTTTGGAAGTCATTTGGCCCAACTCCTTTCTCACAGCAGACCTAACTTCAGGTTGCTCAGGGCCCCATCCAACTGTGTTTTGAAAACATCCAGTGATGGAGATCCTACCACCTCTCTGGTCAAACTACTCCAGTCTGATCACCTTCACTGTCAGAACTATTTTCCTTCTGACCAGCTGGACCTTGCAGCAATCTGTGACTGTTACACTTTTCCTTTCTCTGTACATCTTTGAGAAGAGTCTGATTCTGTCTCTTCTACAAACATCCTTTAGGTAGCAGTAGACAGCAATTACATTCCCTCCTTAGTCTTCTCCATGGTGAACATGCCCAACTCCCTTAGCCTCTCCTGGTATGCCATATGCTCCAGCCTCTGACTATCTCAGTGCTCCTCCATTAGATCCTCTTCAGTTTGACACTGTCCCTCACACTGGGGGGGTAGGGCTCAAAACCAGACACAATATTCCAGATGTACCTTCCTGAGTGATGAACAGAGGTAATCAAAGCTGGACATGGTTTTGCTAATGCAGCACAGAATACTCTCATGGCAACTGCTGAACTCACACCTAACTTGCCATTCATCAGGACCCCTAAAGCCCTTCTTGGCTGTAATCCCCCCTGCACAGTCGGCACAGCCCCAGCCATTTCTGTGGGTAATCTGCTCCATGTACTTCAGATTCCTGTCAGCACTTCAGACTTGCTTCTCCAACTCATCAAAGTCCTCTGCATAGCAGCTCTGTCATGCAGAGTATCAATGGCTTCTCAGTGCGCAGTCATCAGTGAACCTGCTGAGGGGAAGCACTTTGTTGCACTGCCCAGGCTGTTGATGAAGATGTTAAATACAGTTGGTCTCAGCAGCAACTCCTGAGGAATAACACTTGCAAACAGCTGTCAGTCAGACTTAAAGCACTAACCCTTGGAGCCTGGTGGTCCAGACAGTTTTTCCACCCATGCTGTAGTCCACCCATTCAGCCTGTATTTCCCCAGTCAGACTAAAAGGATGGCATGGAAGAACTTCAGAGCCTTGCTAAAGTCATGGCAAAAGATATGCACAGCTCTCTCCTCATCCACAAATAGAATCACTTCACCACAGAAGGAAAGAAGATTAAGTTGGGCATAATTTCCCCTTGGTAAATCCATGGGGTTACTCCCAATCACCTTGTCTTTCATGTGCCTGGAACTTGTACATGTCTGGTTTACTTAAATGATCCCTAACTCCATTCTACTCTAAAGTGGGTAGTACCTCTCTCCTTCAAACTCTCCTACTAAGCACAGACTTTGGCAGAAAAGGCCAAGGCAAAGACTGTCCTTTGCTACTAGGGTCTTTGTCCGATTTTGTGTCAAGCCAAGGTTTCCTTGATGTTCTTTTCAATGTTCTTGATGTTCTTTTCAGAAGTCCTTCTTACTGCCTTTTCATTCTTCACTGTTTTCAATTCTAGATAAACTGTGGCCTTCACTAATTCTACCTAGCCTACACAGTCAATGCTTCCACATTCCTCAGGGGTAGCCCATCCTCGCTTCCACTTTCCATGCATTTCTTTTAGTGCTTGAGCTCACTCAGGAGGTCCCTTTTCAGCCAAGGTGGCCTCTTTCCATGCCTCATCATTTTCTTGCACCCCAGAATAGACCATGTACTTTTCAAGCAAACCTCTCCACTTCCCTGTGGTCTCACTTTATAGTGACAATACTTAAGCCACCATCGTTACTGTTATTTTGGGATGTGGAAGAATTTGACTAGCAAAAGAAAGTTTTGCTGTTGTGTGTTACAGCTCCTCTAAATGGTTAATAGATTAGGATTGTAAAGTCTTTTGTAGAACTGATAAGCCTGAAATTGCTTGTAAGGGAGAGCTCTGAAATTCTCTGCTTAAAGGGATAGTGCCCCTGAAAGGGTCTGCTTTGAGAGGTCCACTCCCTGTGAGAAGAAACAGCCTTCCTGCTGCAGGTATGCAAGCTGGAGACAACAGAATGAAACATAGGTACACAAATCATCCACATCCAAAATTTCAAATACAGATTTCACTGCAAACTATATTGCAGGCAAGAATGAAGAATGAAAATGCATCACCTATTTTCATCATTATGATTATGAAATAACTCAGGGAAATATTCTGATGGCTTCACTAACTAGTCCATCTTTTTCCAGCACGCAGCTACTTAAGTTCTAGTTTTGTAGCAAAACTACTGCATTCAAGAGTATTCAGTGTGATATATATGTAGGTTCCTCTTTCACATGAAGTTTTTAGAGTGGATACTGGTAAAGAACGAATGCATACGAGTTGCCAGCTCAGAAATTATTGAGCAGTTCTTCTCATGGGATTACTCATTTTGACTCAATCTATTCAAATGTCTCTGCTGACGAGAGAACAAGACTGAGCATGGGGCAGTATTTCACTGCTCTGACACTAGTATCCTCCCAGTTGAGGCATTCCTGTGATGGTATTTTATGGTACAGAATGGCAAAATTTCAGTGAAAATGGGAATGTCAAGCTGGGAATCTAACTGAGAGGACAAAGAATAGAACATCCGATGACTCACCCTTCTGCCTCAAACTTTACCTCTAACCAAAACAGAGGATGATGAATTGGGATATAACAGCATCAGCAACAAGAGTAATTAAAAGTTATTACATAAAAGTAATTAAATAAAAGCTAAATTGACAGCAGAAAAATATACTGCTTTTGCTTATCAAGAATTGTTTTGCACTGTTCAGCTCCAATACAGCAGTGAATTATAGGAGTGCTTAGTTTTCTACATATGCATGGTTCCAGTGAAATTAATGGTATTACTGGCAGGAAGTTACCTAATCTGAAATAACAGCACTACTCAGAATGCCTGAAATTACTAGTCTATGCAAGATTTTGCAGGCTGAAAATCTACAGTATCATTTTATCATTTGCTCTGAGCCAGTTAATACTCATGAAATAAAAATGCTATGTACGTATGCATACAGGAAATGCAACTGACAGTGAGAAACCAAGTAGTTAGCTAAGACTGACAAGCAGGAATATTCAGGCTTATTTAATGTAGTGTTCTACCACCATAACAATGTCCACTAATGCTCTTACTAGTCAAATCATATATGAAAGATTTTTATAGAAATATATGAAGCTTACTTGTGTTTTGTCATCTTTAGATCGTGGAAAAAATGGTTGAAAAACCTTGCATAGAATAAGTGCATAACTGCATGCTCCTTTCCTCCGATGTACAAATCCACAGGCATCCAGTAGTCTGCTAAATCACTATTAAAGGGCCTGAAAAAACACAAATATAGAAAAAAATACAATGTGTAGCAGAAAGATCAGCTCTACTAAAGTAGATCATCATAACTGGCTGGACATCACTGTTTGCTGAGAGCACTACATGTACAGTAAAACTTTTTATTTTGCTATCAGATCTTTTCAATTTTTAAGAAGTGATATGCTTATTAAATTATAGACAAAAATGTAATTTCCACTGGGACACAGATCCACAAAAATATTATCTTCCTATATTTTAGGCAAGTAACTAAGATTTCATATACATTACCTAACAAACTGCTGAAACTATTTGCTTGCTCTTTATTTTTTTATAAATACTCTGTGGCTAGGTTTTAAATATTTTAGTATTTATCAAATTTTACAAACAAACATATTCGAGTGAAAGACAAAAGACATGCCAACTCAAAACCAGCTGATTTTTTAATTGGAGGTTTGAATTGTTGCCATTAGGGGGCAATGATGCAGTTTAAGGCTGCAAAACATTCTGAGGAGTCTGATGGGTTATTGTACTTCAACTGAAGGATGCTTGGTGGATTTACAGTAAATTTGTCATTTACATCATATTTACTATGTCACTGGAGGTCACCTGCATGGTTTCCTAGCATTGCTTACTGCCTCATTAAATATTGTTATGTCTCCTTGTAATAGGCTCCTGGTTGCAAAATACCATTTGTATAGATGTTTCTCTTTAATGTAAGCTTTATGGCCCCGTTCTAACAAATTTACTTGTTTTGTCAGTTTGTTTGATTATTCCATCGTATTTTTGTAAGAGCAACCCGTTTTTCCTCACAGATGAGCCCAGAAGCAAATCGTGGATCTGGGATTCATGTTTTTAGTGGAACAAATCAAAACTAACTTGTTCACAGTCAAAAGAGTAATTCTCCCAAATTCCAGACCTGTGAAATACAGCTTATGAAAATAAAGGGTTTACATATACACAGCTTAGCTCAAAAAAAAAAAAAAAATCAAATGGGGGTAGCAATCTAGTGCAGAAGTCCATATAACTGTTCTTATTTCAATATAAAACAGATTTAGCTACACTAAGCTGTTACTTCCACAGCTGAATGCTACATCCGACTATTTCTTCTTCAACTTCTGGAGAAATCCCTCTTGTCCATGCACAAAAAAATATTTCAAACCGTTGCTGGAGAGGAAGCAATCTGCCTAACTATCACTAGAAAATAATTTAAATTAACATGAAATAGAAGTGCTCACAAAAGATTTTTCTTTAGTTTAACTAAACAAGTGCTGGCAATTAAAAAAAAAAAATCGGCCCAGCTATAGTAAATCACTCAGTACAGTATGTAGTATGTACCCAGACGCTGGTCTGGGTAATAAACAAACAAGTAAGTCCCTTAAAAGCCCTACATGTGGTATCAGTATCTCCTTGTATCTTCCTCAGACTACATAGTAGACTTGTTCCACTAATTCCTCTTGGAAAAACCAGCGCTATCAGCAGTACTACTACAGGCAGACTGTGAAGCAGAAAAAACAGCTAAATAACAACATCTATCTTCCCACACTCTCTGTGCTGCAGCCACTAATACACAGCACATGAAAAATCTCCTTTCATTAATTATGCATATAGTCAAAGTGCCAAAACAGCAGGAGCTTGCTGTGATGCCACTTCACTTTAGGTCTGTGCATGAGGAAGTAGCAAGAGTTACCAGAATTCAAAAGGAGAGAAACGGAGGTGCCATTATTGACAGCTGGATGTTACAGCAGAGTATCCCTCTTATCAGTGTATTGCCAGGGAGGGTACACTCCTTGCAACTTACCAGTCTCAGAGAGTGTCACGGTAGGCTGCTGTTCTTGACGGCACCCTCCACTGAGGACTATCTTTAGCTCCTCAGCTGAACATTTCCTCTGTGCCCTGCCCCATAATGCTCTTTCATGCAAACATCTGCCCCTTGCCCTGTAGCTCCTCTGCTTCCACAGTTCTATATACATACCCTGCTCTTCCAGATCTCCATGGGAGCAACAAAATGCCATATTTGTGGAGCTGTCCTAGTCTACCCTGTGCTGCACTCAGGTCAGAGGACAGGTACAAAATTAGGGCAGCACAGGGGTTTAAGCCACCTTCTCCAAAGGCAGTTAGATGGTAGAAGCACCAGAGCATCTGGTCTCTTCCTTCCCTCCTACTCTGTGCAGCAGGTTTGTCCCTGGAGGGCCCTGCACCTGCAGCCCTCACCTGTCTGTGTTGTGAGGGTCAGTGTACCTCAGGTAGTACCAAGCAGAATCAACAAATGTATCCATGGTATCGACTTCTCGCCGTGCTGCTGCCTTACACCTGAGCAAGAGAGAAGGAGAAAAGCTATTTTTAGGTAAGTGACGAGCTTGGAAAAAACCAACCACGTACAGAGTGGCCATGAAGACATTTAGACTGAAAACTAAACGGGTCTGAACAGTCTGAAGAGTGACATTTTCAGAAAAAGTTCAACACCATTAACAGGGCTGACTCTCCTTCCCTCTCCCTCCCAAACCAAACAAAATGCAAACCAAAAAGAAACCTGAACAACTATAACATCAAGCAATAGCAGAAGATGGCACTGCACCAGACAGCCCTCTCAATCATATGTTCCTGGAATTTTTTAGACGTGCCATTTTAAAAGAAACGAAGCAAGTCTTAAAACACAGACAAGTGTACTTTGCCATAAAGTTAATGGGTACTGAATATATATCACACTCGTTAGGTATGAGCAGACAAATCACTTTATAAACATTTAGCAGAAGGAGCAGGTGGTTGCCTCTCACTGATTGTACAAAAAGGTCTTTGCAGACTCCACTTATTATCTCTAGAAAAAATGAACTTAAGTTTAATTTCAGCTTTCACTGAGATGTAGCAAATCTCTTCTAGATCTTGTAGAACAATTTTAATTTGTGATTATGGCAAATCAATTTTTGCTTGGAGTTATACTGGCAGTCCTGAGAAACTCATGTTACTTTCTGCTAATTTCTCCCTGAATACATATTGTTTGTAGGAGCCAATAATCACATTTAATAAACTTCCAATTGTTGTAAATGATCCCTCTTTAAAACTCATACTGTTAAAACTGTGAGATTATTCTAATGTCAATAAAACTTTGCAACCGGTGACACACTTGTCTATAAATACCACTGGCTATATGTAACAAATGTATGCAATTTAAAACTATGTAAAGTTAAATATATGTGTATGTGGAATAAATATACATAACAAATGAGGAGTGGCTATTTAATATTTTCCAGCTGCGTATGTAGTCTCTGGTCAGGCTTGATGACTGAGCTGCAACATGTATCTGCCTGTCTGCCTGATATTTCAGCTTGGCTTGGTGAGGCAAGTTTATGAGAGTATCACCACTTAAGATTTTCCTTCACTCTGTCCCACCTCCTTCTCTACCAGCAAGTTTTTCATTCAATGGGAGTAATGTAGTAAAGAAATTTTACTTCTAACTCCTTTTTAATATAGAACAAGCATTTTATTCAATTGTACATATAAGCAGAGACTTGGCCAATGCAAAATAATGCCGTATTACATTGAAATCATTGAAGCTTTTCAGTCAAAAGCAAGAATACTTTATAGTCATTGAACCATAATTATACCTGCTTCATGCCTCCGATGTTGCCTTCATCTAAATGGACGTGGCTCACTAACACAGACAGCATGGGCATCTTTCACAAAGTATACAATTTATATTAACATTGTGATTAGAGGCACAACACTGTAATCTCATTAGACGACCTCCGGACAACTAACACAATTACCTGGACTTATATATAACAATGAATAACTTGGGCATCTCCTCATATTTAAGATTGCTAACATTACTGTCACTCGAATACAGACTTTTGTATCTTTCCATCTTGCTCTCCTTATTAATTCTAGATATCCAATGCAACTAATAAAACCACCCAAACTATTAATGGAGAGAAGGACTAAAGGAAAGGATGATGTAACAGAGCAAGGAAAACCAAGGCAGACTATACACACACAAAAGTAATAATTCAAAGTATTTGAAATTGTCGCAGACATATGGATGAGCAATACTGAAGATAGTTGTTGAACAGGTGAGAATAAGAAGCCAAATAAAGGTGAGAATTTTTAAAAAAGTTAATTTCAGCAAACTACCACAAGAAACTAATCCTGTGAGCCTTTATTTCTGACTAACTTCACACATATATTCACAGTATCTCACAATATACTACGCAGAAACCATAAGGACTTGCTATACATGAAAAGTACATTGTTGCTTGCTAAACAACAAAATCATTATTGAATTAACATCAGGAGGAAGCCAAAAGTGCAGACAATGACTTTCAGTCACATCAGGAAAATTTTTCCGTTGAAATTAGAAATTGTAGACCAAAGCATTTCTGGGGATTTTAGTAAGCCTGTGGATCTTGTTTAGTAAGGCTTCCCTTCAAGACTCACACTTTAAAATACACTAGTATATGTAATTTAAATAGGCATATCTGAGAAGAAATTTTCTATGCAGAAACATGGAAGTAAAAGTGTGTTTTACATAAAATATACGTTATCAACAAAGGTCAAAATACATGTTCCCAGAGAACCACAGAAGTGCTGTGCATAAGCTACCTAATTAGAAATGAAAACCACACTGATATTCTACCCTTCAAATGTTAAAATGAATTTAGATGTTATGAAACTGCTGCATTAACAATGAGAGCCCTAACGCCATTTAAATGTCTGATTTCCCTGCCTGGCAGCCTGATAATGTACTTCCCATTTGGTCAGTCTGTTAGCAGCAGCACTGCATTGCACTGCTGATGAAAAATGTTTCTGGGATACCTCATGTTCTACCAGTTCCTTCTGGAGAACCTGTATGCAAACTCCTGAGTATCTAAGCTGCCCTCAAGATTAAACAACTGATTCTTACGACATCTCTATCACTACTTTATTTAGGCTGTTTTATTTCTTAAACAGCTGGACTACAAACAGTAAAGATAACAGCACTGACAAGATGCATATACTTACTATCTCCATCCTGAAATACATGCTGTTATCTGTAATGTACACTGAATGTGATTCTTCATGATAAAGAATTATATAGCTGAGGAAACACTTTGTTGCACTATTGCTAAGAGAATGAACACTACTTTAGTTTCCCTACAAAAAGGATATCATTCAATAATCATTATAATCTTTATATTAACTCCACTGGTGAAAGATAATGAAAATTAGTGTAGTAAATAAGAAATACTGTTAAGAAATAGGGGACAGGGAGAAAGATCATTGTTTTCCCATTTTTCTTTCCTCCGACTTAAACACAGCAAGCTTTGCTTGAGCTTGTTTATGAAGAAATAGCAGCGGGTGTTGCAAAAAAGGGAGTTTTACAGAGTATATAAGAAAAAAACGCCTATGCTGAGTCAGACTAAACATCTGGAATAGTATCCTGTCTCAGAGTGGTCAACTGTCAACACTTACAGACAGGTTACAAACAGGCAGGCACAAAGTGCTGCCTCCCAGTGAGCAGTAAATGCAGCATTGGCTTACCTTGGACAGGAACAGTTCACCCATTCTGGAACTGTTTCTAAAGGTGAAGCTCCCTTGCCTGTGAAGGTGGTTACATTGGGCAACACCACAGGTAAGTCTTCATAAGGTACAGGGACAGTGCCACACGTCTGGCAGTGAATGATAGGAATAGGTGTTCCCCAGTACCGCTGTCGAGATATTAACCAGTCTCTTAATTTGTCACTTGTTAGGTCTCCACCTATCCTTTTATTTTTGGCCTGGTGGGTAATAGCTTTTAAAGCCTCCTGCCGAGTCATACCTGTGATCTGATTAAAAAAAAAGAGAAGCAGAAGAAGGAAAAATTTATACTTGCTGTCAGTGAAAATGCAAGAACAGACAAAAAAAAAAAGTCACAAATGCAATTTCTGAGAGTCAAAGTTTATGAGCCTCATATCAATATCCCCCTTCCTGCTGCTTAACGTCCTCCTCTCCAAGAGACTATTCACATACAAGATACTCATTTAAACCCTCTTGCTCAAAGGATAACGTCCTTGATGGTCTGAATAGAACAAGGCTGAGAGAGTCTTGAAGACCTCTTTAGCATTTATTGGTAGATATTTGCATGTACTGCTGATCTTTTAATCAACTGCTGTACACTGAAACTTCCAAAATATCACCAAGACAAGGTAAAGACTGAGGAAATGAAAACAGTAAAACAGCTTGCTTTCTCCTGTGTTCATTTTAGGTTTTTCTATTCTTGATTTCATGAACATCTTAACCACTTAGACCCTACCTGTAAAGTAGAGAAAATAAGCTTTCTGCCTGCTATCAAATGCATTTTTTCAAGAGATATAACACCATATATACCTTATTTAAAGATAAGATTTCTGTCACTTCATGCAGATAAGTTACCATAAAGGCTTACACCGTATTTCAGTGAATATGTGAAAAATGGATTATTAAGTTAATATTTAGTTTAAAAATCTGAGATGGTGAAATAAGAATCAACTTTAAACAAGGGTTTAATTATTCAGTTTCCATTACGAAAGTCAGACCAATACTGTACCTTCCTCTTGTGTAGGAAAGGAAAAAGCTTATTTTATTGCTACAGAAGAGCCAACATATTTAATCATTAAATTATTCCTAGAAATTTGGTATCATAAGATGATTACTTAAAAAAAAAAATCCCTTTAATCATACAAAGTATTTGGCACTCTTGAGAACTCCATACTTGTATACCTACCTCTGCAGAATTAATTACTTTCTCCAAACCATTTGGCAATGTCTCGATGACTTCAGTGAAAGAAATACCCAGATTCTTAGCTACTGCAGCATCTTCTGCACTAGTACTAGGAATTCCTAGGAGGGGAGAAAAAAACCAAATCCGTTCTGGAATTGACTAACATGGCTATGAATCATCAGTTTAAGGATACAAGATTTTATTCCTACAACACTCTTTTTACAATGAATTTTATTTCCCCAAAGAATTTTAAAAATCTAAGAACAATAAAAATGTTTTCACGTTCTTTAAGCAGTGAAATTCAAGCAGCAATAATTACAAACACATTGTCTCAGTTTATCTGTAACCCAGATCAATGTCCTACCTCAGAAAAGGCTGAACATTTGAGGGTTCTGAAAAAGACTAAAAATAAGGCTACAAAATTTGGATAAATAATAAAATCTTCAATATATAAGTTATATTATCTAAATATATTTAAATAATACAAATTTTAATTCTCTTTGCTAATATGAGAAACAAAAGTTGAAATACGCTTCTTGTTTCAATAGTAAATTTAGTCTCTAATTTCATAGTTTATTAATGTACCACAACACAGCAGTCTCTAACATTACTATCCCTTTCACTTCTTATGAAAGACATGATTTGTTTATAAATGCAGGAAAATAATTCAAATAACATCAATTTTCTATTCAGAATATAACTACTGAGAGCAATTCCTACTCCTGTTCAAGTTATAGAAGTCTCAGCACTTAAGGACCCCAATGTTCTCTTTCCATTTGTATCTTATTATTTGGGACAGTCATACATCTTAGTTCTACTTTGGAGGACTACTTTACAGGGTGGGTTAAGAAATCTCATAACTTTATCATCATATGTGTTCTAAAATTAGATTGAGATACTAACAGATTTATTATTTCCACAGATACATCTGTCTGCATATTTTTCCTTTCAGTAATAACTTATTGAATATTTTGAACAATCTTGCACAACTGCTGTCATCTTTAAAAGGCAAAGAAACTTATTCTGACAAGCCAATGCCAACATTAAGTTTCTGGAAAATACGGACAAAAACTCTCAACATATTGCTGAGCACATTAGAACTATTAATATACAAACTACTTCATTCAAAACCAGTGTAACTATCATTTTTGTACAGGCAATTAAATGCCTGCTATACATTAACTCTGCCAATATACGGAAGTTTAGAAGCTGTTAACTAAAGAAAACCAAGCAAAACTCCCCTGTAACAAATAACTCCTTAACTAGCACAATAAGAATTGCTATTCTATCTTTCCAGCAGATGTACACTCTTGCCATTTCAAGGCCCTGTTATAGAATAATGTATGTATCTAATTTGTCAAAGAGCCCTGCAGCCTGCAACAGGTGGCTTCTCAATATGCTCTGCAAATGGAAAAAAGCGGGTCCCACTTTTTGGTCTTCCTTCTTTTGAAAAGACGATGCTATTAATGTACATTCGCAAAGCTCAACAGCTGGCATCCAGAACTTCCTGGGAAGAGCTGGCCAGTTTCCAACAGACATAAGGCCAAGGTACATGCCAGTGAGCAAGCTGGAAGCTTTTAATGAAAAACAAGATTAGGTATCTCAATTATTTGGCTTCTCTTACAAAAGGAAAGGTTCTGGCTCTCAAAACCAGATTCATTTCTAAAGTGTAACATGCGGGCATATTATAAGTAAGGTTTACTGCCCAAGTGGATAATTTCCATCGGCCTTGTGAGGGTCATCCAAGACATTTTTGCATAGTCAGCTTGTTTTATCCAGTCCAGTTGTGCAGGAACAGCCAATATAGACAATGGCATAGAAAAGAAAGTAGCAGCTCCAGGGCAGGAAGAAAGCAGCAACAACACAGAGGCAGTAAAAGGGAGTTAAGGGGTAGGAAGGTAGTAGAAAGGGGGAAGAAGAGATAACTATTTCCTATTAGGACTCGCACAGAACATGGTGTGCTCAATGCACCTGAGATGAGACCACAGTAAAACACAGGAGTAAACAAAAATTAGGAGGGTGCAGATAAAAATGGACACCATTTTTAAAAGTTAGTGCCATTTCTAATTTAACTTATGAGGACAGTCACATTATCTAACTGTATGTACTTAGCTGCTCAAGTTGAGGGGCTGGGCTCCCTATGCAGGAAAGGAGTAAGACTGGCAGCTTCATAGGACAGCTTGGAGAACTGAAGCCCCCCCCCAGGTGCTTCAGAGTATCCTCTAGCAACACCCTTCCCCCTCCATTTATGGATCCTCAGTCCTAAGTCAGATGCCTTAAATTATGGGACTGCTTCCTTCAGAGATGAAGGTTCCAAGATAACTGTCCAGGACTACCTGAACAGAAGTACCACCTATTCTGATTTACTTTACTGACCTCAACACAAATATTATCAGATAAAAGGCAAACTTGGAAGTTTTGTACCTTTTCTGTCTGAAACATTTCTCTATAAGGATACACATAATTTATATAAACACAAGACACAAAAAAAGCTAAAAGTTTGGGTTGTTTGCAAAATGTTTATGTCAAACAATGGTACAGTTCTGTTTTGATTAAGAATGGTGAGATAGCCAAATACACATGCACTGTAAGTAATCAGTCCTCTTAAGAGATGCAGATCCTCAAATTTAGCTCATTAAATGTAGTAATTTTATAATATTACCATTAAAATTAATCATCATATAAATCTCTTCCTCCAGACAGATTCCACATAGCTACTTCTCCCTTCCTTCTTCACTAATGAAGAACAGGAATGAAGAACAGAGTTCCAAAGTCCAGAAGAGAGCCACTGTGTTCAAAGATTAACCACAAGAGTATCTCATGCTCCAACACAGCAACTGAAAACTTTACCATTCCACTTACACATTAAATGTCACATACCTATTTTAGTATCAAGAAAATTCTCAAAATTGGTTTTTGCTGAGATGACTACAGGAATCTCCTGATTGGTAAGCAAATTCACAGCTGTCACTGAAGTAAGCGAGTCTGAAAACAAATGTAACAATCACGGTAAGTAAAATATGACAGAAGATATGCTAAGAACATTACTTAATATTAGAACTCAGTTTATCTTAAACATGCATTAAATTTATATTACAATTTTGTTTAAAAATGAAAGAAAATGAAAAGCCTAATCACATTTCTAAAAAGCTCAGATGTACCAAAATCTTCAGTAAGTCGGACTGGTAAAATTTTCATGATTAGAAAACATACTTACAACAAACACCTGAATGGAAACAGAGTAAGATTTGGATCATAATAAAAAAATGGAGCCCTTGGCCAAAATGCAGGTCTGCTGCAAAGTTGTATGAATTGGTTTTAGTAAGTCCTAACTTATATACTAGCATACATTATTACAAAATTATGTAAAAAATCCAGTTATTCAAATGAAACTGAAGGGGAGCATATGTCCTACACTTATGATTTGCTTTTACAGAAGAGCTACAAAGCATAAGAAACATTGACCACTGTTTAAAAAAAGCACCTAAATAACTATTGATTTTGATATAGAATATTCATATTCATATTAGAGATGAGGAACCCAGTGTCCACTGGGAAGGGGAGAGAGGAGAGAATCAAGGGTGAGAACTGTGATAAAATGAAATTAATTTACTGAAATGTGTAGCTTGGGTGGCTCAGCAAGAAGAAAATAAAACCTGAATAATCCAAGTTCTGAGGATTCAAAGCCCAGATCCCAATTTGGACCAGTTTCTAACTTTTTCAGTGCCTTTAAGTTGATTATAATTAATTAAAATACAGACTGCTAAGCGCATCCTTCGTATCTTCATAGCTAAGCTGAGGAAAGACTTGTATTGCAATGCATGAAATCTGCTTGAAATAAAGTAACAGCATTTTAGAGAATACGGCTGCTATATCTCATGATTCTCCTTAACACAAGGGATATATTTATTTATTTCTGATTATCACTTTTTCAAATTTCAGGTGTCTGAGATATCCATATTCTACAGAAAAGAGAAAATTTCCCACACTCGAAACACTGCACATAGCTTTCCTCCCCGTGTTTAAAAAAGGTACAAAAGGAATAATTTTGCTCTTTAAAAGCAACTACCCAAAAAACTCCATGAACAGGAAGCTGAGTGGGTAGTAAAGTCTGCTTTTAAAAATAACTTCTCTCTTCCTCCCAGCAATAATTTTGATTTTATGCTGGAACTGAAAATAATAACTCCAGTTTATGAAGGCATTCTTTTTTGTGCTCATTTGCTCCCATCATTATTATAATAGTCGTAAAGAGATGATATTACAGTTACAAATGTGAAAGAATGTATGCATAGTGTTATAATGAGATAATGAACAATGTAAGGGTCAAATCTTTACTTCAGATACATCATGCTGTCAAAACTAGAAGACTTACACCAGATTCTAAATTAACATAAATTTTTCTAGGCTAAAAAATGGAAGGTTTGAAAATTGATTGCTCACCTCTATTTAAATAATAATAGCCTAAAATACAGAACTGTACTCCAAGAGTAAAGCTCTTGGAACTTTAAACTACTTTCCAATACAACAGTTGGGGTTTTTTCTCTCCTAGAAAACATAAAAACATAGCCTCTAAATTATTTAAATGACAACACAGTGAAGAAAGGGAGTTACAAGACTATCTCTGTTGAAAAGGAAACAACTACAAAGAATTAAATTAAAATGTTAATGTTACTGGCAATTTATTTTTTTAAGTCTTGGTTAATATGAAAATATGATCTATTCAAGGCCATCCACAATTTCTTTTTAATTAAATGCCATTGTTTGCCCTCCATATGTACCATGGCTGAAATGCAAATCTGAAAGTCCATATAGAAATTGCTCGCCTTTATGTTCTCTTCTTTGGAAAATACCAGTCTGTGCCTTTGAAATGCTCAAGAAACAGTAAGAAATATCAGCCAATTTCAACTGAAGAATGCATATATTTAAAAGTAGCAGGAATACACAATAGCAGAGCTACAATTCTGGAATTGTGCCTCTTTTTCAAGGACTTATGGCTGTTACTATACCAAATGAGTGTTTCTTAATTTAGCTCAACCAAAAGGTAAAGCTTATTGTTAACAGACACAAAAAAGCTTTTCCAAGTATTTCCACATAAAAATGATATAAAACCATATACTGTTGTCCTTATTAAAAACACATTTTGCACTTGTGTAGTAGGCTTAAAGCACAAAATCCAACAAAGATACAGGCACGTGCATGGATATGTTTCTGCAGTTAGTGCTTTGATTTGGCTGAAGTGTAAGAACCACAAACTTATTCCTTTGTTCCTTAACAAAAATTCTCCAAGCTCTGCTCAGCTTCAAGACAAGAGCTCTACATACTCAACACATTCAGGGTCCCTTTTTTTTTTCTGCTAGCAAGCAAACTTTTTAAGGTTATAGAAATGAAGCACTCAAAAATAAAGCTGTTCCTGTGCAACCATCACAATTTTCCACAAGATTCCTGCTTCACTGCTATTGACATCAGATGTTATATAAACAATGAAGATCATCTTTACCACTGAGAAAAAACAATAAATATTGAACACCAGCCTCAAGTGGAAACAAAAATGTTCAGTATACATTGTACTTGCTCTTGTAATTTTTCAGGTTTTCCAAACAACAAAAAAATAGTAGGCCAGGTATACTAAATACAGGCAGAATTGGTGGTAGGAACATTCAGGAAACCAGTTAATGACAACTAAAGAACTACCACTATTTGTATGCTCTGTACAAGCCATGGCCTGCCATGGGGATACTCTGAATTTACTCCATTAGAGTCCTGCATTAATCAAGGATCTGCACAGCAAAGTATTATTTTCCTATCTATCAGTGATCCACTTTGCTACATATTAGTCATCTATTTTCCTCCTTAGATTTCCTATGACAGGAAGATATCATGGCTGGTGCAAAAGCTGGCTCTGCTGTCCTTGTGCTAATGACAAATTACCATATAGCCATGAGATTTTCCAATGGCCTGACATAGCCAGAGTTGGACTATTCACTTCTGGTACATAAGAAAACAAGAATCTGTTCCACTGCTTTTATACACAGTGAAGTGTTACGGCCATGATAAAAGGAAGAACTCTAACATAGCTGCTCTTACCACATCTGAAGCCAGGACAGGCTGATGTAATACTGTTTGACATATACCAAGAATCAAAAGACCTCTCAACAGGAACAGCTCCTGCTCAGCTTGACACACATTCTGAATATCATTCTCTAAAATTGTTACTCTTCTACAACAAAATACAGTATGAGAAAAATATCACCTTTCCCTGGGATGAACTCCCTCTGAAAGACTTCCTTGAGACTGCTGTTCCCATGCAGCAGTCTGTGAGTCGGTAAAATATATAAATGGGAAGCTCCATAAATGGCTTCAGGAGTATAGGTGTAAGCTGATAGCTTCTCTTCTGTTACTTTACCATTAACCTGAAAAAGATCAGAAAAATTCTCATTAGAAGTGCAGTGGGTTTAGATTCCCCTTCCTTTTTACGCAGCTAACAAATTTACATCACCCTGTAGAACTACAGTTCTAAATATCAAAACCAGATACACTCCCACTACAGAGAGTTTCCAGAATCAAACCTTGACAAAATGTACTTTTAAGACCTTGAGAAAGTTGCTTTACTGTCTTGTCTCAGGTTATCCAAATATATCTATTGACAAAAATTTCTAAAATCGTACGTAACATTACATTGTGCTACTGAGCTAGATTAAGTAACCTGGAATCCTTCTACTCACTTTTAATATACATGTCCTGTTAACAAGAAACAGCAATGAGATGTTATCTCTGAAATCTAAAGAGAATTTAAGATTTTCTCAGCTACCAGGCTTTCCACTACACTTCTCTGATGAAGTAAATGCTGCAACTTATGTACAGGAATAAAATAATAAAAAGTGGCACAATATTAAAACAACTGGACATAAAATATGAATAATAGAAGAGTGCTTAAGAATTACCACCTGGCACTATCAACAGGTTTTATATTTTAGGTCAATTAACTGTAGAGTGTATGGGGGTCTTAGGAGAGTTTTCTACAACAGGCATTGATATACATTTTCAGAAACAATTGATAAAAACAACTTAAATACAAAAATGCACCTTAGAGCATGTGCAATTCAGAGGTATTAAGAAAGTTTAAGCTGTCTCAATTTGAAGTTTCCAAAAATACAGTATTTTAAAATACCAGAGTAAATAAGCACAATAAAGCTTTGAAGCACAAGGGTTGAAATTCCATCAGGGTCTCTGAAAATCTCTACTGTATTCAACAAGCCTTTTGAATCTCTTGAGACAAATGGAAAAAATCTGAAGTCTTTCTGTAGATAATAATAATTTTCTTAAAGTTTCTTTTCCCTTCCTCTCCTTTCTTTCTATCTAGACTTTTCTGTAGGTCCATCACTACCTAATTGTGTTGTTCTCATTATTTTAATTATTGTTTGTAGTAAATGAAATAATGAACAAATATAAGTGAAGTGGCTTGCCTGAGGTCAGCGTGGGACTGACAGAGAAGGTTCTGTGCAGAGAGGAGCAAGCTCAGCTAGATCCCACCTGACTTTTGCAGTGTCACTTGATACTGCTCTTGGCACTGCCCCCCTAAATGTCCTGGCTTTCAGGAGTGTTTATTAGCCAGCATGTATTTTGGCATAAATACACACAGCCAGCTTGCACCCAATATTGCCCTTGAACACACAAATCCTTTCCTGAAGAGTATAGCAGGGAGTATTCCTTCAACACACAAGTGGTTTTCAGGAATCTGTACTGGTCTGGGCATGAACATACAATAATATCTTTTAGTAAGTTTTAAGATTTTGAGATCTGAAAATCCACTCCCATCACACATTTCGGGAGTTGTGGTTAGCCCAACAAAGACAGCAGCACTGAAATTTCTGACTTACCTTTAGCAAGAAGTCAAGACAGCATCCAACACAGTCACCTATCCAATTTGCTTGCATTTCTTTTATACCATACCACTCAGGGAGATCGGACAAAGCATCAAACATAGCCTGATGCAATAAAAGAAAGAATTAGGACATGCAGTTATTTTAAGCATACAGATTAAGACTACGGGTTTAATTATAACTAACAGCAAAATGATAAAGTGCTGGTAAAAACACAGGAAGAGGTGTTTTTATACTACTGCTGCCTCAAATTCATCTCTGAGAACAGAATATGGTGCAAGCCAGAGGTATGTTGTTTCCAACAGAGACCCTGTTGTTATTAAAAGAAGCCTTCCTTTTGAATGGACTAAACCTTAAACACAGAACAAAGCCCTTAGATGAAAACAAATACAAAAAATATTCCCAATGGGTGTAACTTGTGGGAAGTGTAAGTGACCTAATGAGCAGAACAAGACTACAGATACATAGATGTGCTTGCAGGTATGAAGCCAAGATTGGATTAGTTATTCTAGACAATAGTCTGGAGATGGCAGTCAGACAACAGACATTTACATGTCCTAAAATTTTCAAGGTCTGACTTAAAATGGCAAAATAAGACTTTCCAGCTGCCTATTTTTTGTATTTCATAATGGTATTTTACCAAGCACAACAGACTGCAAAATTGAGTGGAATCTTTAGGTGATACTGCCCTGTAAAAAACCCAACCCAAATCATAATAATAAGGGCTCCATACTAAATTGAAAATACACATATTATAATAAGATAATTATTATAAGCAACCAGCAATAAAGCTGGTTAAGGGTCTAGAGAACAAGTCCTATGAGGAGTGACTGAGGGAACTGGGGTTGTTTAGTCTGGAGAAAGGAGGCTGAGAGGAAACCTTATGGCTCTCTACAACTACCTGAAAGGAGATTGTAGCGAGGTGGGTGTTGGTCTCTTTTCCTAAGCAACAAGTGATAGGATGAGTGGAAATGGTCTCAAGTTGAACCAGGGGAGTTTAGATGGGATATTAGGCAAAAACTCTACACAGGAAGGGTTATCAAACGTTGGAACAGGCTGCCCAGGGAAGTGGTGGAATCACCATCCCTGAAGGTATTTAAAAGATGTGTAGACGTGGCACTTAGGGACATGGTTTTCAGGTGGACTTGGCAGTGTTATGTTTATGGCTGATGATGTTAAGGCTCTTTTCCAACCTAAATGATTCTATGTTTCTATACTAAGCAGCAGAGAAGAAATTAAGTGTTGGCTCCTTCATTAGCCATAATGTCCAACAGCCAACCTGTAACTTTTATGTATATTTATACTCAGCAACAGATATATCCATGTATTTATGTGCTTTCTGGTGTGTAGCATGAAAGCAAAACAGACTATTCCAAGTCAACTAACATTTGTCTACATGATTTGAACAGTGTGTTTTTAATAAACAAGATATATAAAAAAGTAAAGGAGAAGATGTACAAAGGGATGCATAACTCAAAACTCATCTCATTTTTCACTTCCTAACACTTCATATTTTTGTTAAGAATACTCCAACTGTCCAGAATCTTTACTTTGGCAGAAGTAAAGGCAAAGGCATGAGTCACTCAGACAGATGGTGGATATGCTGAACAATTAGAGTTAAACTCTAAGAATACGGCAACGTGTTGAGTAATTTTTCCTTCAGCTGTGATTCCCAACATTAAATGTGCAAGCTCTTTATTATCTCATTAATCGCTAACAACCTGCAAGGATGGACATTAGCTACTATGTGCTTCTTAAATTAAATAGTGGATAGTTAGATAATTAGTGAATATACAACTACTTCTTTTTCCAACTGTTGTGTTTTAACTACATTCTTAAATATTTTCAATGTCAGATGCATACAAGATTTTATAAGAATTACTTTCTAGATATATCCTGTTCTATATCTATCATTCAAAATACAACAAAGGGCATCTCCTTCATAAATCATATTACACCACCAATTGGGATTATTACTTTCTACATCCTTAAAAATCAAATTAATTTTCTAATGATTTATAAAGAAAAGAATGGTAAGGTTTTGGAAGGTTTTTAACTTTAATCAGTTTTAGGTCACAATTGCAAGTATACTATATTCTAAATTTTCATTATTCTCACTAATTTTAGTGTTCCAGAGACTTCTGATCTTTATCTGCCATGAATAATCCATGTACATATACACCTACCAACGAATAACGAGTAACTGGAGATATATATATAGATACAGAGATATACATATACAATATTGGGATACATTCTTTGTAGGAATTTTGTGCATTTCAGAAAGAAAGAAATTGTGCCAATACACAGAGAACTGGCTGGACGCATTAGCATATTTTTATAAATTCTCCTGCTTGGATATCCATCCTACTCTACATTACATTTTGCTGGCAGAAGCAGCTAAATGTGCATGTGCTCTACTGAAACTGTACAGTCTGTACAGTCTTGCCAGCAAAACTTTCTAGATGTTTTTTTCACTGCAGGATTAATACATCAAGATTCTTAACGTGTGTGTGATAATGATTTTAACTCTGGTTAGTTGGCCTTATTAGGAGTTATAGGCTACAGTTTGACTTAGCCCAATACTTCTCTTGATAATGCAATTGCTTAATGCAGCTAAATACAGTAAGAGCCCAGTTAGCTCCACCCGAATGAAGATAAAAAAACCTTATTCCGCATGATGGCACAGCCTAGCAGTTTGCAAACATAAACCCATCACATCTTAATATGCACACGAACAGTAGTATAGCATGATAAAAAAAAAACACAACCAGAAAAATCTAAAATAATTTTCAGTATGGAATTATGACTCTCTCGTTTTTGTACTCAACACACTACTTTGGCTTCTTGTCAAGGCTACGAATAGCAGGTGAAGTAAAAAATGAACAACATGCAAAACACAAAGACTTTACAGAGCGTTAAAGAGGCAAAAAATATACAGTAAGTATACTGCTAGCAAGTTAATAAGTTTCTAAATGGTAAATTAACCTAGGATACTCACTAACAGGAAAGCAGAAAAACACATTAATACTTATACACATGAATCCACTTGTATATTCAAAATTAATCCATGCAAATTAGGAGGTTTTAAAAAACTGCTTAAGGGAAATCCTTTCGAAAGGATTTCGAAATCCTTTTTGCTTTCAAATCCAATTGCACTACACTCTGCAAAATCATAAATCTATAAATATATGTTAAAACTATTGCTAATTTTTAAAAGTTACATGTAGTCTGTTTGGGTATACAAAACTTGAATTGAAGCTGACCACTGCTAGCATAGAAACTCCTGAATATTATAAGCTAGTGTTTGAAAATTTAATATTTAACTCCATGGATTTTGCTTCCATGTTCTTTTTTAAAATCATTACCATATTTGGTGAAACATCTCAATCATTAAAGTAGTCCCATGAATTCCGCTCCAATTATTAACTTGCAATTACTGATATGATCCTTAATCAAAAATTTTGACACTTAAAGGCATGTACATAACTCCTTGTCATCTGTGCCACAAGTTTGTTAACTAGGTAACACAAAAAAGACAATCAACAAAAAGATTCCTAGCACATAGGCAAATAAACAAAAGTAAAACCACATTGGACTCTGCCTGCAAGGGACAAAGAACAACAGCAGCACTACAATCCACTAAACAGAGAGTGATACTCATCAAATAAACTCCATTTTCAAATTTTTGATGATGACTTAATAGTAAGAAACTTGGAAACATTAGGTAGAGTGTTTCTACTTTAATTTTTCATGTCTTGGGAAGAGACAAGAAAACTTCAAATGTGTATGTTTAATTACAGGAGAAATTACTCCCATCTTGATCAAACACAAGTCAATGTAAAGCATAAATGCATTTTGGCAGTCTTCCACATCTAAAGACAGACAGGGTCAGGAGAAAGTTAAAGAAATCAAAGCTACATTCAGGGATGAGAATGACTTCAAGGCTCTTACACCTTTAGGAAAAGTTTGACTTAAGTGCTGGAGAAGTTGAAGACTCAAGATAAACTAATGTTTCACAGGACAGCTTTACTCTTTCAGAACACCTAGAAAATTCTGACATCACTAGAATATGAAAGTCAACCAGCTCAGATAATCAGAGGGTCACAAAACCAAGATGAGTTTGCTGAAAATTCATCAGACAACGATGACCAAATCTGAAACTAAAAGTAAAGCATTTGAAAGTGGAAAACTGATCTCACATATCCAGCTGTTTAGTCTGTGAACATTCATAGAGAAACAGAACTTCAGTTCAGCAATCTTCAGACAAAAAGAAGTCCATAAAATCGAAGAGCAGAAGTGCTTTACAATTTCCCAAGAGTATCTCAACTCCAAAAGTCCCCTTGCTCATAGTTCAAAGAGGAAGGATTCTGCTGAGCACCTAAAAAATTGAGTCTCTGACTTGAGGACCTAGTTTTTAGTATGATCAATGACTGTCACTAATTTCATACTTAAAGAGTATTTGTCTATAAAGCCAAATGTTTACTCTTTTTTCAATGAAGACACTTTAATGAGGTTTGTCAAATCTGCAATATAACAAGACTAAAACAAAAAGGTCAACAAAAGGTTTCATTTCAAAGGCATTAAATTCCTTAGAAAAATAAAATTGTCTTCTAATAAAATAAAATTAAGAAGCTTTGTATTAAAATTAAATTCTTAATTTTATTTGACCAAGCTCCCAAAAGAGTAACCAAATACAAACTAATGATTACATGAAATCATTTAATACAACTTAATATATTAACGAAGGTACAGGAAACGGAAGTTAGGCTGCCCACTGTTTTATTTTGCACTTTGTTGCACAGCTCCAACTGTGATTATGCAGTACAGCTTCTGCTGGTATTTAATCTCTTCTTGTTTTGTTTTTTTTACCTTCAGTAGTTTCTGCCTGTAGTATTGTAGGTCACTCTTGACTCCTATTTCCCATGTGTGAAGTATACTGAAAATATACACTAAAATGGAGCAGTAACACAGATACTGCATATACTTCAAATTCTCTCTCATAGATGTCTGAACTGTCACCAGTTTTCCCCTTTCTTACGCTATAATTTATGGTCAACAAACACCTCTGGTTTGATTACACAGAACTGAGGCAAAGAAATGAC